CAGGAAGGTAACGGCGCTCCATGCAGTCATGCTGGCCACATGACCTTGGAGATGTCTATGGACAATGCCGGCTCTTCGGCTTAGAAATGGAGATGAGAACCACACCCCAGAGTCAGACGTGACTGGACTTAATGTCAGGGGACAACCTTTACCTTTTTATTATTCAGTAGGGAAAACAGGGCTGCAATCCAGTTTATGTGAGTAGTGTTTAGTGGATCACTGGGCAGGCATAGAATGCCAAAAGGGTCTGTGACTCACAATTTAGTTTCAAAGGTTTTGATCCCCAGACAATCAAAAGCAGCCATGGGCAAACTTGGCCTTCTAGGTGTTTTGGACTTTAACTTTCACACTTCCTAACACCTGGAGGGCCAGAGTTTGTCATGCCTGATCTAGAAGGTTATAGTAGACTCTGTTCCAATCCCTGCATTCAGATTGACCTGTTCTTTTTTCCTGATTTTATGGAAAGTATAGCTAGATCCTTCTTTGCACTCATACTGACCTTATCCAACCTGACATCATCCAAATGTGTTTGGGCTACAACTCTTGTCACTTGCAGCCAGGGAAGCTGTTGGCTGAGGATGATGGGAGTCCCAGCATGAAGGAAAGCATCACTTCTCCTATTGCTTCCTGAGCTGCTTAGAAGAATTTAAGAAAACAAAGAGAGATCCGTTAAGTTTGTCACTGTTCCATCTGGCTCGACACCATGAATTCTGTTTCAAAGTGACAGTGTTAGGGAATGTGTTGTCGAAGGCTTTCATGGCCGGAATCACTGGTTGCTTGCTGTGCATTTTCTGTGCTGTATGACCATGTTCCAGAAGCAGTCTCTCCTGATGTTTCATCCACGGATGCCTACCATAGATGTGGGTGAAACATCAGGAGAGAGCATTTCTGGAACAAATCTTGACAAGAAAACTCCATAAGAGGGTTGCCTTAGCCCTGAGTCTGAAACGACTTGAAGGTGCACAACAAGAATAACAAATTATAGTCTGCCCACCCAACGGTCTGAGGGACCATAAACTGGCCCTCTATTTTTAAAAAGTTGGAGGACCCCTGATCTATTGGGATCCAACCTCATCAGCTTTGTGGTTGTGACCTGGAAAGTAACAATTAGGTCACTTGGTTTCCTAGCAATGTCATGTTGAAGATTCCATGCCCAGTGTCCCTCCCATCCTCTCCCATCCCACAAGTTAGACCAATAACAAAAGTAGTAGTTGCAGTCATGAAGTCTGTCTCCAACACTGACTTACTTTATTTGAGAGAGGCTACATCAGGGATATGGGAAGCACGATGGAATGTGCTAGGTAATAGAATGAGCAAAGATGGGGATGCAGAAGGACGTTTTAGTATGGGCAACGGAAGCCCTATGGTACTGAGAATGTTTGGTCCTATTGAAGCCCCACCAGCCCTGGCTGTATAGTCAATGACAGGGGATGATGGGGAATTTTTTTTCCACCACCAACCCTCCAATACTCTTGACTACATGTTTCCTTTTAAGGCTTCAGCTAGTCTCCCGAAAGGTTGGTACGCACTGATTGTATGCATTTTATTTGTGAGAATAAATACATATAAAAGACTTTCCTCAGAGTTACAAAGAGACAGAATGTCAACTGTGTATGGTTGTGAAAGAAAATGATCAGCAAGAATTAAAATTGTAAATTTTTGCACAAGTAGATCAACTGCTGTAAACAGGTTTCTAATTTGTTAGAGTTCTTCACATATGGAAAAGAAATGATGTAGTCAAATGGCATTGCTTTTATAAAATAAAATTCAAAGCTAGCTGAGAAGTGAACGGTGTCCTCAGTAGTCATATGGTTTCCAATCTTTGAATATGCAGAAGAAAACATTCCCAGGAGAATTCAAATATCTCAAAAAATGTTTTTATATTGTAGAGAAATAATTAATAGCTAGACCCTGGTCTGTGGGTAATTATGTTAAAAAGTTGGATATTTGTCATGTTTATTTTTTTGTAAGCAAGTCCAGTTTTCAGTAAGATCAAACCAAGATCTTGCTGTGCATTTTCTGTGCTGTATGGCCATGTTCCAGAAGCATTCTCTCCTGATGTTTCATCCATGGATGCCTACCAACTGTTTACATTGGCTACATAAGCAGTCTTATTCTTTTGTCTTATTTTGTAAGAAAAGAAGACAAGTTATATTAGATTGCATTTTCATAAATAACAATTCTGTGGTCATATATACATTTAGCAGAGCCTTCCTTTGAAATCAGCAGGGCCTTTCTCTAAGTATACCATTAGAGGATTATGCTGTTAAGTTTGCAGTATTAAATAAATTCTCAGGCTATTACTCTTTGTGGCAGTTGAACCAAAGTGCGTAAGCCACACCTATACATTTTTGCCATATATCTAGTACAGTGAGCGCTTGATATCTGCTGGGATTTTGTTCTTGGACCAACCCTGGATATCAAAATCTGTGGAAATTCAGATATGAATCCCAGTTAAAATATATCAGTAAGATTTAAAATGTCGATTCACCAATATATCAATAATTTGTTCTGGATCGGAGCCAGGTATGGGCACTAATGAGTTAAAATTTAGCAATTTTTAATAATAAGTTATTTGCATATACATCTGTTACATGTTATTTATTTGTAAACTTGTGATTGGTTATCATTGGAATTTCAGTATTAATGTAATTCCAGAATTAAGTTATTGATGAATGAATGAATGAATAAAGGGCTAGCAAACTTTACATTTTCCACTTATGTCTTTTACCAAAGAATCCCTGGCTCTGTTCAATTTGTGCACAATTCTTGTTAGGCCTTTAGAGTTGAGAGCTTGCAGTGTTAGGTCACAAGGACCAAATCATTTTTTTAAACTTCTGGTTATATAGTACCTCTTGTACCCACAGAAACCGAATCCTCGGGTTCAATGACATATCACTTGAAAATATTCAAAGAAAAATTCCAAAAAGCAAACTTTTATTTTGTCATTTTGTATTTGGGACACAATTTTGTTACACCATTGCATATGATGGGACTTGAACATCCACAAATGTTGCTATCTTGGAACCAAACCTCTGAGAATACCAAGGCCACGGTAGCTTTTAAATCTAAGGTTGAAAGATTGTAAACCAAAATAATAGCAAGGGCATCTTGGAAGGAAGTTACCTTCTCTGCCTCCAGAAGATCATCCTTTACTCTGTGTCAGAGACTGCATTTGAACATATCTCTCCTAGGAGACTGAATTTTGAATTTCTTACAATCCTGAGACTTTTGCCGGGATCTTTTTGGACGTCAGTAAGCTAAAGAACATTGGGGTGTAAAATGTGATTATAAGGGGGGGGGGGAATTGAAAGGAGTAGCTAGTAAAGTATATAAGATAATAATTGAAATAAAGAAAGGAAAAACAAAAAATAACACCCTCAAGGAGGTCTGGGAAGAAGATGATTTAGGGATAAAAATAAATGAAACAGAGTGGCAACAATTATGGAGACAAAGACATCTAAAAAAAATTATCAATATGGGTTAAAAAAATTACTATAAGTTAATATGGAAATGGTACCTAACACCAGTAAGAATAGCAAATATAAATTAAAAAACTATTCAAAAAATTGCTGGAGAGGATGTCAAGAATCAGGAACATATATACATATATGGTGGCAATGTAAATATGTAAATAATTTTGGGGGAAAGTATTTAGAGAAATAGAAGATATAATGAACATTAAAATAAAAAGAAGTCCTAGTATAGCTTTATTATCATTATATAATAATAAACAATTGAAAAAAGAAGATAAAGATGTGATAACAAATTTATTAACAATAGCAAGACTGCTTATAGCAAGGAACTGGAAAAGAGAAATAAATATACAAATAGAGGAGTGGTATAAGGAAGTATCGAAATTGGCAATAAATGATAAGCTGACGTGTATATTAAAATTTAAAAGAGGTATATGGAAACAAAGTGATTTTGATGATGTATGGAGAAAATTTATTGAAAAAAAGATTAAAAAATAAAGAAGGAAAGTCACCTCCACAAGAAGAATTGAAATTTTGGACAGATGATATGTAAAAGCTGTGGCTTGGGAGGGGAGGAGGGGAGTACAGCGGTGAGGGATAGATAATATGTATAAGCAGAAAAATAATACTAGATGCCAAAAGTTAAAGTATGGTAAGTTGTATTGAATAATATGTATCTGCTGTAAAACAAACAATGTTTAACAAGTGTATTGAACCATGATAAAATAATAAAAATATTTTTAAAAAATAAGGGGGGAAAAAGTGAAAGAAAGTGAGAGAGGAGTTTTGGATGGGGCAAATGAGATTTGGGATTTTCAACACGGCATCTGTTTCATTCTCCAGCACAACGATGGGAAAATGAAATCATGGGTGGCATTTTTCATCTTTAGGGCAGACATTTAACTTAGATTTTAATATCAGTTTAACACAGTATTTTTCCCTTTGGAAGTAAATGCAATTGATTGAAATGTAACTGGATCAATAGAACACATTAACCTTTCTCTTTTAATCTTCATTTCTATAGTTGGGACTAGGCTGGCTTTATGCTTCTGCCTTGAGCATTGCAGTTGCGTTTATTCAGGCACAAGTCCCATTGGGTTCAGTGTCGGGTTGCAACCTTAGCTTCTTTATAAAATGTTACCTCAATTTCCTCCAAGCTTGCCAGGCAGACATAAGCCTTCAGTGGTTCTTCTTAATGACATAAGGCCATGATTTTGCAGCAACTGACTTGAAATCTCAAGCTACTACTCGTGGTAGCTGGCTTTGTGCCCCTTGTAGGATTAGGTGTGTGGCTGACGCTGCACCCGAGATCACTTACAGGTGACATTTCCAAGCTTGTCGTTTATGGAGGAGGAGGCGGGGTGCTAACTTTGAAAGGCAACAGCAGAAGGTTACAAGGAACACTCCGGGTCTCACAGGCGAAGCAGCCTGTGTGGAGGGCAACCAGGAGGCAACGAAGAACAAACACCAGCTTCTCCATTAGCTTCACCTAAGACATTTTGTTTGTCTCTTGATTTTTTTCAGCCCAAAGAATGGCGCACGATCCGGGAAAACATGAACATGCTGACACTATGGGGATTGGCAAGGCTATTGCTGTGTTGACATCTGGAGGAGATGCCCAGGGTAAGTCAAGATGGTTGCCTTCCTAAAGATGTTCATGGCTTTGGGACGTATACCTTGATCTGTCTGTTGCTCTGAAATTCTGGTGGAGAAAGCCATAAAGACCTATTTTAGGGGAACATTGTCATAAAGATTTTGATTGTCCGATACCAACATTTCCCTAGAAGCATTAAGATGGCTTACGATAGCTTTCACTTACAAGCTATGTTAGAAGTCATATTATGCAATTGGGATGTCCAGTGTTCATATAGGCATGCAACCAAGACTTCATGGTTGTGTGCCTATACGGCTTTCCATCACTAAAATCTTAACTCTTTTGTCTTATCTCCTTATCTTTTTATCAATAAAAGGAGTGGGAACTAAATTCCAGGTCTATATCAGGTGGATTTTTTAGAAACCCATAAATCAGAAATGATGCAATTCTTTTTACTATATTTTCTGGGGATGGTGGAATTGCAGGAGGAAGTTGAATTGTGTGGACTAATTGTAGGTTTGTTCCTCCAACTGCTTTCACTTTCTTTGCATTTCTTTCCCTCCTACTCTCTGTTGTCTTCATTTTCTTTGCAGCTGTTCTCTGTTACCGTAGTGGCTTTTTTCCTCTTCTTATTTTCATTGCTTATCAACATGGTTACAACTCAAGTAACCTAGGCCCCTTCTATGCTGCCATATAATCCATTTTAACAAAGCAGTTAATCCACATTATCTGATTAGATCCAGATTATAAGAGTCTACCATGGCATACAATCCTACTCAGAGCCGATAATCTGGATTTTATATGGCAGTGTAAAAGGGGCCCAAGTCAGTTAGTTGTTAGAGCACAGGCGGACAAAATGTGGCCCAAGGGAAATTTGCAGATCCAAATTCCTTTTCCTGATTCCTCTTTGCATGAAAACATATAATTTTCTATTCTTGGAACCATTTCTGCTTTGCGGTAACACATGGTACAGGGTTAGGGTTAGGATTGACTAGTACCTGAAAGCAGGCTGGCATTTCCCAGGCCTCTGATTGGTTGGGAGACCAGTCTTAGCCAGTGCGCACCCTGATTGGTGGGGATGGTGATGACACTGCCGGGGATCCCCTCTCAGCTGGGCAGGAAAGCCCTGGACTCCAATGGGCCAATAGAGGTGTTTCCTGGGGCAGAGAGGACATCTGTGGGTGTGTCACAATGGAATGCTGAAGACAGAAAGAGTCCAGAAAGATGAATGATGGAATTATGCAGATACCGGGTCCTAGATACAGGGACAATGGGTGTTGGGTCCCCCAGACATCTTCTCATGCTGGGAAGACAAAGAAAATGTCTCATGTCTCAGAAATGTCTATTGGAGATGAGAGTGCCATCAGAGTTTCTTCCTGAGTCTTTGTCCAGCTGATAGCTGAGATCCCCAAAGGGAAGTTCAGGGTGACAATTGGATGTCCTCCTGCTTTTGTCCAACAGATTGTGCCTTGTCCCTGTTCTCCACACAGCATGTGGAAGGAGTATCTGGAATGGCTGTGATTTCTCAAGAGGTTATTAGGGTTCATGCTGGTCTGCCTTCTAATTCATATAGCTCAATAAAATAAACTAAGAAAAATATGAAAAATAGAGTTCATGGGAAAAGTGGAAAGAAGGGTGACAGGAGAGGGGTCTCATCTTGGCTGCATGCAGGACGGGTTATTTGCTTTATTTATTTTAATTAATTCCTCTTCGTTCGTGTGCACATTTGCATAAGGGGAAAAGGGGGGAGAAAACCAGAGAAAGATATTTTGTATAGGAGAGAGTATAGCAATGGAGGTGTATGATACACTGTAGCTATCTGGGCTGTAACTTTGTTATGGTAAGAGTGAGTGGAGCCATGAGACGATTGAGCTGGGTGTGTGCGTCTGTGGGGAGCTGGGAGTTACAAAGTTGGGGGGTTGCTGCTACTAGTCTGGGAAATGGCTGAGGGACCCGCATCCTTGGGGGAACTCTGATTCCCTCCGTGGCAAAACTAACTTTTTATTAGGGGTGGGGACAGCCGTGTTCGATAACAACTGGGAATCGGTTGTATAGCTGAGTGGGGAATTGAAACTGCATCTCCAAAGTGCTGAACTGGCTCTCAAGCCAATACACCACACTGGATCTCAGTACCAAAGAAAAAGTGCATTGCTTTTTTATTGTCTGTGGATTTTGCATTGGACTTCCAACCTCTCTGCCAGAAACACTCAGGAGGGAAAAGTGCCAATGTCTTTCTTTGTCCTTTTAAATGCTAAAGGGGATGTGATTTCCTTGGCTCTGTGAGATTTATAGGTGATTCTGCAAAGGCATTTTAAAAACACGAGAAAATTACTATTTTGGAAAACGGCACCCAGAATTGTAGCTGTTCTGGTCAAAAACTTCTGCAACGTCTTTTTAGTAATGCAAAAGTTACACTGTCTCCTTCTCAGCTTTCTCATAGCCCTTGTTTTCCAACATAGCAGAAGAATCCACCACCATCATATTATCTTCTTGTAGCAGGCACATGATTGGCAGGGGAGCAGTTTCTGGGCAGAGAGAGGAGTTTGATTACATTCCCATCCCCCAGTGCAATGTATTTTGGAGCCAGTGAGCCCAGCCGCCCAGCTGAGGATACCCCTGGCACTTACATTAAATGTCATCCTTTTCAAAAATAAAATGTGCAAATCATCTGAGGGTGAGATTGGACATTGGGAGGCTTGTGTGCACCTGGGTGCATTCCAGCTTGGAGCAGGGAGACATTACTGCCTCTTGAAAGGCCTTGTTAAGAAAACAAGGGCTGAGGAAAACCAAGGAAAGGGGAATCTAAGAGCAAAATGAGCCTGCCGTCTTTGTGGATGTCCCATGCTGCATGTTACAAGTCCCCAGTAAGGTTGGATTTAGGGCTGTAACAAAAAACAGCATTTCTATTTATTGTTCAGGTTGTTTCGCTTATTTCAAGCAAGTTAGCATAGCATAATAGCGCAATAGCAAACCAGACGTGGTAGGGCCAATGACAATTTCAAGTGGTCTGCTGAGTATCATTCTCTTCCTAGGGAGCATCTACACTGTACTATTAATGAGGTTTGATACCACTTTAATTGCCACAGCTCAGTGCTGTGGAATCTTGAGAGTTGGAGTTTGGTGAGACACCAGTCCTCTTTCGCAGAGAAGACTAAAGACCTTGTAGAACAGCGTTTCTCAACCTGGGGGTCGGGACCCCTGGAGGGGTCGCGAGGGGGTGTCAGAGGGGTCACCAAAGACCATCAGACAACACAGTATTTTCTGTTGGTCATGGGTACTCTGTGGGAAGTTTGGCCCAATTCTATCATTGGTGGGGTCCAGAATGCTCTTTGATTGTGGGTGAACTATAAATCCCAGCAACTACAACTCTATAATGTCAAGGTCTATTTTCCCCAAACTCCACCAGTGCTCACATTTGGGCATATTGAGTATTAGTGCCAAGTTTGGTCCAGATCCATCATTGTTTGAGTCGGTTGAGATCGGTTCAATTCCATCGTTGGTGGAGTTCAGAATGCTCTTTGATTTTCAGTGAACTATAAATCCTAGCAACTTTAACTCCCAAATGACAAAATCAACCCCCCCCCCCAAAACCCCACCAATATTCAAATTTGGGTGTATAAAATATTTGTGCCAAATTTGGTCCAGCGAATAAAAATCCATCCTGCATATCCATCCTGCATATCAGATATTTACATTACGATTCATAACAGTAGCAAAATTACAGTTATGAAGTAGCAATGAAAATAATTTTATGGTTGGGGGTCACCACAACATGAGGAACTGTATTAAGGGGTCGCGGCATAAGGAAGGTTGAGAAATACTGTTGTAGAACTATAACTCGTATGATATGCATTGAACTATGGTATCAGGCAAGTAAGGCCCACCTCAAAAAGTAACTCCTGCCCACCCCACTGACTCCGTGCCTGGCCCAGCAAGGCCGAGGGCTGCAAGGCTCCCTTCCTGCCGGCACCCAGGAAAGAGAAGGTAAGGCCTGGTGTGTAGCCTATGCTTTGCCCAGTAGCGGGGGTGGGGGTGGATCTTGCTGCCTCCTGCCTTGCCAGATCCACCGTTGTGCCAGCGTGAGTGTGAGTGGGCAACTCCCATGGCAGCCTCTCACCCAAAAGCGCACCAAGCCCAGTTAGGACAAGGGCTGCAAGGCTTCCTTCCCAAAGGTGCCCAAGCAAGGGAAGGTGAGGCCTGGTGAGCAGTGCCTGCATGGAGCAGACTCCCACCCGCCTCACCAGAAAGAAAGAAGGGGTCCCTGTTTGGTGGGGCTGACAAAGGGTCCCAGTGGGGGGGGCACCCCACCCCCCATTATGACCCACTTCACAGCTGGCTGGCTATTTGACTTCCAGTGGTTTAATGACAGCCATTCTAGGGAGGCAAAGGAGGCAGAGCCAAAGGATATGGTGGCACGACCCCTCCCAAATTGCCAATCGACCCCTCTGGGGGTCATGACCTCCAGGTTGAGAACCACTGAGCTACATGGTCATGAACTGAAATGGCATGCAGCTTCCACACGCAAAAAGGTGGGAGTGGGAATCAATTTAAGTGTTTTACCACTATCTGTCTACATAGTAATCAGAAAAAGAAATACTAAGACATAAGAACTTAAATAAGGAAACCGAAGCTAGGAATTGTAATGTTTATAGTAGATTATAGTTTATAGATACAAGATGATACTTAAGTTCATAAATAATCAACCTATGATAAAATCAAGAGAAGAATTGAAGCAAGAAGTGCTAAATATTGAATGGGTCACTTATGAAGAAATTAAACAGACATGTAAACAAGATCTTCAATATGGCTTTGAAAAAGAAATTACCGAGCAGGAAAAAAATATTATGGCCATTGGCCATATCTGCCTATTGGCTGCAGCAATACCATGTGCCTTTTTATTCTAAATTAATACTTAAGAGATGAAACTTCAACAACCCTAACATCATTTGAAACATGATATGATTTGACTCAACAAATAAAAGTGTCAATCAATATACAACTGTTTAATTAAAAATATATTTGACAGATGACAAAATGCTAGAATAGGCTGAGAATCTAACTTGGGAATAGTAGTATCAGAAGAAGTTTAGAATATTATGTGGTCTATAGCTCCTTTCAAGTCTCATTCAGTTGTGACTAAAAAGAATGTTTTGGGGGGGAAATCACAAAATTTTCACCATACTATATGGTGATATATTCCCTGACTTCACATGGATATGCAAAACCACAGATAATACCAATCCCTGTTTGAATGAAGAACCTCTGGTCGAAGAACAGCATGATGCCTTGCTGGAGGACCAAGAAAATGCCTAGTGAAGATATATTTTGTCAATTAGGGAAAAATAGAGGTGTGAATACTGGTCCAACAGATATGGGGGCAGTAATTAAAATTAAAATTTTGATAAAAATTGATAAATCCTTCCAATATGTTTATATATTAGATCTCCCTTTGCTTTTCCCTAATTGAAATTGTTGCACAAAACATACAATAAGGGATATAAGGGACAGAAGGGAGAGGAATCTGCTGATAAAATATATTTGTGTTTGTTCCAAAAATTAAGTAAGATTTGTAGCCACAAATTATTTTAATATCAACATTTTTTTCTTTGTCACTTTGTCAAATAGCTGTTTAAATGTTAGTGAGGAGTCATCCTGAAATATCTCTGGGTCTGTTATGGTTTATTGTTTGGGGAGTATTGGCAAACTACAGATCTCATACCAATGTCTTAGTCTAAAGGTGTGTCTTCCTTCATCTGTTGGTGACTGTCTCACACTCAGAGAAGCATGAAGCCCAAGGTCCAGGAATGTGTGACCTTCCCAGATATTCCCATTGTCCATTAGGTTTCATGCAGATCCCTCTCTGGCCAACATTTCTAAAAGGCATGTGCATAGTCCTTGTTTTCCGTTAGTATTCTCTATGTGTCAACTAATCCAAGCAACTTTGAGGCTTTCCTCATTGGTTGACCCTTCCTAGCCTTTATATGCTTAGTTGTCATTTAAGTGATGGATTGGGGAAGAACCAACATTACTTGTACAATGGAGAACACATACAGAGAAAAAAAAATATAAGAATTTGCTTATCAGAATTACAAACCAGGTTTTGTAGGTTATGGCATACTCTTTCCAAGTGAACGAGGTGCAGTATTGTAGAGATAAGAGGTAGACTGACCACTCAATCTGTCCTTATGTCACCTTGTGCTCTGCAAATGACAGCCTCCAGTTGGGAAGCTAGAGTTTGAGACTGTATGTCACTGTCAAGAGCTATTTTGTTTCTGTATGAGTTGGTCTGTTTACACTTCAGTTGAAATGATGGCAGGGACCTAGAATGGATTATATATAGTCATGGTCACCTAATGTAGGATATCAGTTCTTCAGATAGATCAATATTAGCCCCATCCAGGTGAGATTTGGACTAGATGCCTGCCTTGTTGGATTAAATAACGAAGAACAGATTCTTTCACCAATATGTGAAGTGAACCCTTAAAAGTCTTGTTCATCTACCTATGGGTTAGTTTGTGTTTTAATACAAGCTAGATCATTGTTAGTGCTTCCGGAGAGCTTCAAGTGATAACAGTCAAAAGACATTGTGCAGCTTGCTGTTCTATCATTCCCTCCTAAATATGTTTTCTCTAGTAAGGAAAAAAAAAAGATATGGAGGAAGCCATCGGAAAACACAGAGGGTTGTGAATGAAATGAAATGTAGTCTAGAGATCCTGTAAATGGTTTTGTGTGAGGTTTTTTTGTTTTGTTTTGTTTTTTTGTTTTTTTGCTGTATGGCTATGTTCTAGAAGCATTCCCTCCTGACGGTTCACTTACATCTATGGCAGGCATCCTCAGATGTTGCTTGGCATAGTTGTGGGCAAAACGTTAGGAGAGAATGCTTCTGGGAAATGGCCATACAGCCTGGAAACACACAGAAACCCAGTGATTCCAGCCATGAAATCCTTCGACAACACATTGATCCTGTAAATGGTTCCATATTTGAGGCAAGACTGTTGGAAAATGAAAGCCTTGTCTAGGAGCACCTCATATCTCCATCGAAGTACAGCAAAAAAAAAAGCCTCCTAGAGATTCGTCCATTCTGTTGTACTCCAGACCAGGAGAAGCCCTCTGACTTCAAACACCATGCAGTTGAGTAGGAGAAACAATCTCTTTATTGGAGGTAATTAAAAAGCAGTAAAGTACAAAGCACTTTAAAAAAATAGGTAAATCTAATTAGGTAGGAAGATAAGCCAGAACAAAGTAGTCCAGGGTAATAGTCCATCAAAGTCCATGAAAAACAAAGACAAAAACTTCTCTAATAACATCCAAGAAACCAGGAAACGTGAATCCAAGGCATTAATATAAAATCATAGAATCCAGTAATCAAACCATGAAACAAAGGCACTTAAGCATGAATCTTTCCAAGCAAAGTTTCCAAGAAACAAGGACAAGAACTTGACTTGATTCCAAACAATGCTTCATCTGACTACATATTCTGTACTTGGGACTTTTATCTCCTCGTTAAGGTATGTCCCAAGCGCCCAGAAATTGATTTTGCTTTAGCTGTGAGTCTCTTATCTTTCTCTCTCTGAGCTTGGCAGAATGCCGAAGCCACTGTTCAGCTCTTCTGTTTTGACTAATCTCCTCCCATCTATCTATTTGCTTATTAATTTCTGCAGCTGGGCCAGGTCTCAAGTTGTTTTCAAGCTCCAAATCATGGGAATTCTCTGGTAGCAATTCAGGGAGCACACCATCACCCCCACACCCTTCAGGGACATTCTCATGAGAAACTATTCTTTGAACAGGGATCTCCTGGTTATTCTCTGCATCAGTATCATTGACCAGACCATTGCCATCTTGAAACTCATTGTCATCACTCCCCACATCTAAAGCACCCTGAGCTCCAACACATTCCTTGGATCACTCCTCAAAGTGATGGCTCATTGATTGGGGGCATCAGTGTGATTTATCTTCTCCTTTGATTCTGAACAGGCATGAATGCTGCTGTCCGGGCTGTGGTCCGAGTGGGCATATACACTGGTGCCAAAGTGTTCTTTGTTCATGAGGTAAGTGTGTGCGATTGTTCCCTTTGCTGAGGTTAGGAATGGCATCTAAGGCTACAGTGGAGAACCATTGGCCCTCCGAATATTTTGGAGTAGAAATCCTAAATCCTTTATGTTGGCTATGCTTACTGAGGCTACTGGAAGAGGGGTTTGAAGTTGAAAACAACTGAAGTATTCAAAGTTCTCCTCTGTAAGTCTTCCCTTTCACATGCCCCCAAATGTGGTGGTTTTATCCTGAAGCGGGAGAGTAAACTGCACTATTTCAAGTTGTGAATTAGTCAAGGTGGCTATGTTGTATCATTCTCACAGCTGCTCTTTAAACAAAGGTGGATTCTTTAACTGTAGATAACTATTAAGAAAACGTTGCCTCCTGCTTTCAATTTGGAATAGTGTGCCTGATTCCATTATTTAATTTCTACCTCCACCTACTGTACATATGAACCCAAATTTATAATTTGAAGTTATAATCTAGAATCCTGTGCTAAAATGTTGCTCCATTTCTTCCAATATTTGTCTGTTTATGGAGGCATTGAATGTTTACCGTTGTATGTTGGAATCCACCCTGAGTCCCTCCTGGGGCTATAGATTAGAATATAAATAAAGTTATATATATATTATAATATCTGTTTCAGTACGTGGGAAAAGCTACCTGCATTATGTAGAATAAGTTATGTCTGTCCTTTGTTGTTGTGTGCCTTCAAATATTTTCTGACCTATGATCACCTTAAGAGGACTGTACCAAAGGGTTTTCTCTGACAGATATTTTCCCCTAGAAGTAGTTTGTTATTGCCTTCTTCAGAGAAGAGTGTGACTTGCCTAAGGTCACCTAGTGGGTTTCACTATCAAGCTGGGATTCCAACCCTAGCCCCAGAGTTGTCCCAACACTGAAACCACTTCACTATGTGGGCTCCCTTTCCCAGTATATTTCTGTTGTACGATCTTGGTTCTTTGAATGTTTTGAAATTGGCTCAATAGATTTGTGGGAGAGAGCATCAAAGTATAGATTAGAAAAGGTGTGTTTACCAGGCTGCAACCCAGTGAAGTATACTATTGACCTGTTGCAGAAGGTGCCTGGTTCAGTCCTTGATGTCTCTAGGGAGGTTTGCATTTTCCTTAGGTGAAGTCTTTTCTGCATTTGGTTTAGCAATAGGGCCCTAGAAAACACTGTTGTCCCAGAACAACTTGTAAAGTTGTTTGTCCCTCAGCCTCATGCTGCTCCTAGAAAAGAAAATAGAACAAGTTGCAATGAGTAGCATAGTATTGGCAGTGTCAAGACAGCTACTATTACACCAATACTCCATACTAAGTGTGCACTTTTGTTAAGGTACTTCCTGTTCCATGTCCTGGGATGTGAAGGGAGCTTGAAATATCCAGAGAATTCCCCATCCAAGCCAAATATATCCCCAACACTGCACTGTCCTCTACTATATTTTGGCAGCATCTTATTTTGAGCATTGTTCTGTGGGTACAGAAAGCTATTGAGTGACGGATAAAACTCTAAATAATCATCCCTCTGCATTCACTGGGGTTTGAGGCATAGGAAGTCAAAGACTGAAATTAAAGGAATTGTATTTTTTACCTCAGATAATACTTTTCTCTCTAAAGTCATGCTACCCTTCTATTCTGCCTTGGTCAAGATCACACCTGGAATATTGTATCCAGGGAGGTGTTGTCAAGCTGGAATTTGTCCAGAGGAGGGCAACTAAAATCAACAAGGATCTGGAGAACAAGCCCTATGAGGAGCAGCTTAAAGAGCTAGGCATGTTTAGCCTGCAGAAGAGAAGGCTGGGAGGAGACATGATGGCCATGTGTAAATATGTGAGAGAAAGTCATAAGGAGCTTGTTTTCTGCTGCCTGAAGACTAGGATGCAGAACAATGGCTTCAAACTTCAGGAATGGGTATTCCATCTGAACATTAGGAAGAACTTCCTAACTGTGAGAGCCGTTCAGCAGTGGAACTCTCTGCCTCAGAGTGTGGTGGAGGCTCCTTCTTTGGAGACTTATAAACAGAGACTGGATGGCCACCTGTCAGGGGTGCTTTGAATGCGATTTTCTTTCTTGGCAGGGGGTTGGACTGGATGGTCCACAAGGTCTCTTCCAACTCAGTGATTCTATGATTCTCTAGGAATTTCTAGGGACCTTATTACATTAGGAAATACTCTGTTTCTGAGACCTTTTGATAAGACTTTCAACAGGTCCCATCCCATCAATATTCCATCGGAATCCGTCTGCAAAGCGTTGCAGAAACAGATTAAAAGGTCATAGAGTGACATAGGGGGTATTTTGAATGGATTGGGAGGAGACATCCTTCTGTAGTATGATGAGTCAAAGCTCAGTATTTTCAAATCATAAGAATCATAAGAATCAGGAGTGATGAAGAGAGTATGCATTCCATCTCAATACAGTGTGCACCCAGTCCTAAAAAAATGTGATGCATACTGATACAAACGGATTATATCCCAGTGTGATAAGGTCTTAGGTTTTGCAGTGCAACTCTATGGTGAACCTTCACTGGAAGCTGACTATAGAATCGCATTGGAAGATCCATAGAATCCCAGAGAGAACATTTTAAATTAAATCTGGAAATAATCAAACCACAAAAACGAAACTGTTGAGAGAAGACTTTGTATTCCCTGTTTAATAGCTTTTGGGCATTATGGCTTTAAAGCTTATCTGTATCTCTTTTGTAGGGCTACCAAGGTCTTGTGGATGGTGGTGACAATATTAGGGAAGCAACATGGGAGAGTGTTTCTATGATGCTGCAACTGGTAAGTCACTCATTTAGATTATAATTCTTTTAATCGGTTAAAGGAACTTCGCCAATCCTGTCCAACCCGTAACTGAGATTGCATAGCTTCATTTCATGAGCAACAGAAACCAACCTGAAGTTAAGTATGATAATGATTTACCCACCTAGAGCAAGAAACATAGGATTCCTCCAAGGAATTCACAGTGAGACAAACCAACTTAATGTTAAAAGAAAACCTGAAGAGGGATATCGTCAAAACTAATTTTCATTTTGTGTTTTCCTTTAAGGTTTTTGGGAAAAAACATACAAGCATCTATTGGGGTGTGTTTAAGTTTGTCTTCCCCAACCTTCCACTCTCCAATGTATTTAATTATGACCTCCCTAAGCTATTAAACAGTAATTTCCTGGAAATCATGGGAATTGTGGTCTAACAATCTAGAAAGGGTACTAAGTTGGAAAAGGCTGTTTTGGGCACATGCATGAATTGGTCTTGGGGTAAAATCTTGTGAAATTGCCCTTGTGCAATGTTTCCCAAGCTTTGGTGCTCTAGGTGTTTGAGACTTCCAACTCCTGGAAGCCCCGCCATCTTTGGTGAATTGTCAGGAATTCTGGGAACTGAAGTACAAAAAATCTAGAGCACCAAATGAACCACTCATGGATCACAGCAAGAGTTCATCTCTAGTCCATTATGTTCCCAACCTTGACCAGCCAGGTGCCTTAATGCCATCCTGGAGCACATGGAGAGTTTGAATCTTGCCTGTTGGTCTTGTTCCCAAAATCTGATGCTTGTATTCAGAAATATATAGCATTGCCTCTAAACATGGAGGTTTCGCGTAGGTTTATCAATAGTTGCTTCTTTCCTATATATCTTGCCTTTCTCCAAGGAACTCAGGGACATATACAAGGCTTTTCCTTCTCCTCATTTTCTATCAACAAGCGCCTTGTGAGGTGGATCTTCCTAAGAAAAAATAACCCCAAATCATATAGTTTAGCAGGGATTAAAATCTGGATCTTTCAAGTCTCACCCCATTATTCAAACCATACCACCTTAGTAGTTTTACAAACCATTCAAACTATGTTTCCTAAACTGGATGTATTTCTTTTTGGGGAGCGTCTCCATGATACATCATACCTGTCTAACTGACTTGCTTCCTAAAACAAAATCCACAAAAGAGACAAAATCTTTATTGGCCAGACAAAATGCACAGAGAGCTTCATGCAAACATTTGAAGCACTACTGGTTTCTTCCTTTAAAAGATCATACAGAAGAAGAAAATAAAAGTGACGGTGTTGGTATCGCTTTTGAATCCGGTCTTGTTTTGCATTTGTTGGTCTGTTGGGATCTCAGGCAGGGAAAGACTACGCTCCTGGTTTTTGCCATACAGGAACTGAGACAAAGGAAGTAAAAGTTAAACTTCATCGGCAGCAATAAATTAATTCCTCTTAGGATCCAAAATATTTCTGCCTTTTGTGAAGCCACAGCCCCTTTCCTAGAATGTATTGTTTATTTATTTATTTGCCGTACTTACATCCCGCATTTCTCAACCTCGTAGGGGACTCAAAGCAGCTTACATATACATATATGTGTTACATATATGTGAACATACATACACAGTAAAATAAGCATATACATTAAAATAGTCATTAAAACATACGAAACTTTAAAACACTTATTAAAATCACATTATCCAAAATCTTAATCCATGGCTATTCCAAATTGTCATCGAACTATTCATATTCTCTAGTGAGTTACTAACCAAACGCTTGATCCCACATCCAGGTCTTTAGAATTGAATTTCTCAATAAGCCTCTGTTCTATTACCTCTGGAAAAACTTGTAGGTGACGTATAGACAAAACCTAACTGATTATAATCCAAAAGAAAAAGTTTGCCATTATTGGAGGTAGAAATCCCAATGAGTTAAGGACCAACACAGCTGCCTTTGAATATGTAATCTATTTACAGTTGCTAACAGTTATCATTTGGTCATATTTCCATATTTTTACTCTTAATCTCATCTGTGAAACATTCATTATAAAAAAGTTGGCTGAACTTTTATTTATTAAATGTTTACATTTAAACACCACAGATGTCATAATCAATTTTTACATATTTTTTGTCTTTTGAAAATTGTTTTTTGCTTTATAAAGTTCATATGGTCCATTGGCTCTCCTGTCAAGGGGAAAATTATTGTAACATCTTGACCTTTTCATCATTTGAGATCACAGTGAAGGTCATGTGTCTTAAGTGTAATGATAGACTGGAGCTTGGGGTCACAGTGAATGTCTCGGGACCCAAAATAATTTGAAATTGGAGCTGACCTTTTCCTTCAGCCATGCTTGCATTGAAGCTTTGAATAGGAGCTGCTTAGATTTCATAAACAAGAATTGCAAAGGATTCTGGTGCAGCTGAACGGCTCACCAGACCGTCATGCTTTGATTTAAATACTATCATTTATAATATGCAGCCTTTCCCATAAGGCAGAGTTTCTCAAACTGTGCTCCTCCAGATGTTTTGGACTTCAGCTCCCACTAATCCTAACAGCTGATCAATTGGCTGGGATTTATGGGAGCTAAAATCCAAAACACCTGGAGGGGCAGGGTTTGAGAAACACTGCAATAAGGAACCCAAGTCCTCCTTTCCATTTTGATTGACCTAAGGTTCCTAAGAGATTTCTGGCCCAGTGGAAACTAGAATCTGGATATTTGAAGTAATTGAACTGCATGACAGTGAAACTTGTGCTGCACAAGCATACTATCTATTCATGTAGAAACAACCTAAGCTGGTTCAGGTAAAATAAACAGTGGTTCTATTACAGCGTTTCTCAACTCCTGAGGGGATTGCGAGGGGGTGTCAGAGGGGTTGCCAAAGACCACCAGAAAACACAGTGTTTTGTGTTGGTCATGGGGGTCCTGTGTGCCAAGTTTGGTTCGATTCTATCATTGGTAGAATTCAGAATGCTCTTTGATTGTAGGTGAACTATAAATCCCAGCAACTACAACTCCCAAATGTCAAGGTCTATTTTCCCCACACTCCACCAGTTTTCACATTAGGGTATATTGAGTATCCATGCCAAGTCTGGTCTAGATCTATCATTGTTTGAGTCCACAATGCTCTCTGGATGTAGGTGAACTACAACTCCCAAACTCAAGGTCAATGCCCACCAAACCATTCCAGTATTTTCTGTTAGTCATGGGAGTTCTGTATGCCAAGTTTGGTTCAATTCCATCATAGGTGGAGTTCAGAATGCTCTATGATTGTAGGTGATCTATAAATCCCAGCAACTACAACTCCCAAATGTCAAAGTTTATTTTCCCCAAATTCCACCAGTATTCAGATTTGGGCGTTTGGTGTATTTGTGCCAAATTTTGTCCAGTGAATGAAAATACATCCTGCAAATGAGATTTATAATAGTAGCAAAATTACAGTTATTAAGTAGCAATGAAAATAATGTTATGGTTGGGGGTCACCAGAACATGAGGAACTGGATTTAGGGGTCGCGGCATTCAGAAGTTTGAGAACTACTGTTCTATTAGAACTTGTTGGAATGGACTAAGTACATAAATATAAACCAATGAATCAGCCTGAAGGTACTAGGCATTAAGTGGGCAAGAGGTAAGAAAAACCTATACAGGCAGTCCCTGGGTTATGGATAAGATAGGTTCTGTAGGTTTGGTCTTAATTTGAATTTGCATTGGAACAGGTACATTTTAATGTGTAATTCCAGCCATTTTTTTTTTTAGTTTTGCATATAAAAGGAAGAGTTAACAAATTATATCACTGGTCCAATTAATTCAATGTTGTTTACAAGCACCGGAGAGAGGTGCCAGCAGTGCTTGTAAACAACATTGAGTTAATTGGACCAGTGATATAATTTAGCGTAAGGTGCCTTCTGAATTAAACTAAAGGACTCTTTCTTCCTTCATGCCAACAAATTCATTGATCTTTATTGATTTGGCATCTCTGTATTACATTTCGGATTTGTGTGATACATAAGGAGTTATATAGCTTTCTTGCTTTGCAAAATAGCATGTACAACTACTTAATATAAGGCAGAGCCCTATCTCTGCATATCTCAAATAGGTACCTGGTGACACAAAGATGTTGTCCAAATGGGATTTTGCTTTCCTATCGGGCATTTATTGAGTTCTAATTGTAAGATATACTTGGCATTTCCAAGGTACAATGGAGCAAAAACAAAAAACACCACCCCTTGTGTTAGAAACCCTGCTTGCTGTTCTGGAAAAAATGTCCAGCAATATTCCATGTGGATAGGTTTTTCAGTGATGGGTTAGGTAGTGGTTCTCAACCTGTGGGTCCCCAGATGTTTTGGTCTTCAACTCCCAGAAATCTTAACAGCTGGTAAACTTGTTGGGATTTCTGAGAGTTGTGGGCCAAAATACCAGGGGACCCACAGGTTGAGAACCACTTGGTTAGGAGCCCACAGTTGTGCCATGGGTTAATCCCTTGTGCCAGCAGGACTGTTAACCGAAAGGTTGGTGGTTCAAATCTGGGGAGTGGGGTAAGCTCTAGCTTCTCATGCAGGGACATGAGATAAGCCTCCCACAGGATGGTAAAACATCTGGGCGTCCCTGGGCAGCATCCTTGCAGATGGCCAATTCTCTCACACCAGAAGCAACTTGCAGTTTCTCAAGTCACTCCTGACATGAAAAAAAAACTGGGTTAGAGAAAAGGACCTTTACAGATGAGTACAATGGAATTTGATTCCTCTTTCTCTCTTGCTGAAGGAGCAACTGGGCTAGGTAACCATAATGTTGGCTTTGTATTTCTGCTCCGAGCTTACTCTTTCTTCCGGTGTGTCCCTAACCAGGGTGGCACAGTGATCGGGAGTGCCAGGTGCAAGGACTTCCGCGAACGTGAAGGACGATTGAAAGCTGCGCGTAACTTGGTAAAAAAAGGAATCACAAACCTGTGTGTGATTGGGGGCGATGGCAGTTTGACCGGAGCAGACACCTTCCGAGCAGAATGGAGCGGTTTGCTGCAGGATCTGGTTAAGACAGGTATTGTGATTGTGGCCCTCAAAGTCTAGGAAGTGAACCTAAAAGCAAAATTAGGAAATCTTTTGAAATCTGCTGGTGGTTCTTCCCATCACCATGAAGTACTTGGCTTATGTGATTGTAAGGCTAGGAACCATTTGGTCATTGTCTGAGTGATTTACAGGCCTTCTTTAAGTATGGTGAGGCTCAAATGTTGACTACAATGGCCAAAGAGCTGTGTTTGCTTTTGACTGTGATACTGGTAACTACTCTAGAACCCAAAGGTTCTTTTATAAAGGAAATTTAAATAAGCTTCCATCATTAAGCTTCTGCCCTATGCATTTTGTCCCTATTATGCCTTGACTTTGAGTTCTAGTGCTGAGGGATTTCTCCAAAGTGCAGCTGCTGCTCGTAATGGGACGGGAGCAGGCAGAGAAGGGAAAGTGGGAACTCTTGATAAATCTCATTTGTTAGAGCCTGAGAAGAGTTTGACTCCCATTTCACTTAGCAACTGCAACAGTTTGCACCTTCACCAATTGCTTTCTTTTTAAAATAATACCGTAGAGCAGAGGTGGAGAAAGTATGGTGTATGGATTACAAGTGCCCTGTGTTCCCCGGAACATATGGCCCTCATACCCCACAGACAGTGCTCCTAAATATTATTTATTTCTGGTGTGATTTTAGGACCACAGGGTGTGCCAAAAACAAAAACCTCTTCTTATCTCCTACACAAAATAATTACTTATAATAATAATAAAACTTTATTTGTACCCCGCTACCATCTCCCCAAGGGACTCAATGCGGCTTACATGAGGCCGAGCCCACAACACAGCAATAACAAAAGCAAAAACAACAATAATACAAACAGTAAATAAAACTCATAACAGAAAATAAGCAATAAACATTAACAATAGCACGACGACATTTAAAAACTTATGGCTGGGCCAAATGTAATAATTAAAATTTAAAATATGCTGGACATGGCAGGTAAAATATGATTAAGATAGGATTTTCGGGAAATGATGGGCGTGCAAACAATCCTAGGTCATTAATAAAGTGCATTTAAGGACAGATTGCCGGGAGTTTCTTATTCTGGGAAGGCACATTAGAATAACCACGTTTTCAGACTCTTCCTAAAGACTGCCAAAGTTGGGGCATGCCTAATGTCCTTGGGGGAGTGAATTCCAGAGACGAGGGGCCACCACCGAGAAGGCCCTCTCCCTCATCCCCACCAGTCGCACCTGTGACTGCGACAGTCTATATCACTCCCAGACATCATTCTGAGTGATACACAGATGAAGTAAGAGAAATTTGGGGGATGTAGATGGGTGGACACCAGCATGTATTATAATTTGAGCATTGGACTAGGACTTTGGGAAACCAGAGTTCAAATGCATCCCAAACCAAAGAACCCCACCAGTTCACCTTCAGCCAGTCACACTCCTTCAGCCGCAGCTGAAAGCAATGACAGATCTCTGCTGAATAATTCTTGACCTGATGACAGGGTTGCTATATATCATAGACCTGAAGGTTAAAAGTGTTGACTTGAAGGTGCATAACAAAAAAGGGAGCTGAAAGGGAATTGGGCGCCCACCCAACCAGAATAAGATGCAAAACAATATCTCAGGTGGGGATACCTAGCTTTTAAAAGGAGAGAATCTTTTTCCTACTAAATGTTTTGGATTTCAGTTCTCAGATGCTGCAATGGCCGGAGGTTCAACTAGATGGCCAATGTGGCTTCTTCCAGTTCTATTCGTCTATTATTCTTTGAGTCCATGTAATCCAAGTACAAAGCAAAACCAGCAACCCTTTCACATCCTGTTCCTCAAAAGCCTGAACCACAAAATAAAATAGGATTTTATTCTGGCCCACCCTCACCATCAATTTTAGCTGTAAGTGCGACTTTGCAGAAGTGTTGTCACCTGCTGGTTTACCAATGTGTTTTTGCCTGATTTCTTTTCAGGTGGTATCACAGCAGAAGAAGCAAAGAACTCCAGTCACCTGAACATTGTTGGCATGGTTGGCTCTATTGATAATGACTTTTGTGGTACTGACATGACCATTGGCACAGACTCTGCCCTCCATAGGATAATGGAGATAGTAGATGCTATCACCACCACTGCTCAAAGGTAAACCTTCTGCAAAGCTGAGAGTGGTTTTGCTTTGGTACTATGGATCCCAAAATTCACACATTGCTTATTTGTTTATTTATTTATTTACGACATTTCTACTCCACCTTTCTCAACCAGGAGGGGACTCAAGGTGGCTTTACATATAGGAAACAATTCAGTGTCTTAAAACACAACATACACTTAAATAAATATCAAAAGTACATTAAAAACCATTAAAACATTTAAAAACAATACATTTAGGATTTAACACATAATCCACGAGCGTAATTTGGGCCGTTCCAGTGGTCATTGCACTTTGTTCCAGTCTATCTATTGCACAAGTTCTCTAAAGGCTTGGTCACAAAGCCATGTTTTCACTCTCTTGTGGAAGATCAGGAGGGAGGGGGGTTGACCTATTTTCCCTGGGGAGGGAGCTCCACAGCTGGAGGGCCACCGCTGAGAAGACCCTGTCTCTCGTCTCAGCCAGTCGCGCCTGCGAGGGAGACAGGATCGAGAGCAGGGCCTCCCCAGACGATCTTAAACTCTATGGTGGTTCATAGAGGGAGATATGTTTGGATAGATAAGCTGGGCCAGAACTGATTAAGGCTTTATAGGCTAAAGCCATCACTTTGAATTGTGCTCAGTAACAGATTGGCAGGTAATGGAGCTGATGTAACATGAGGGTTGTATGCTCCTTGTATGCCACTCTGGCGAGTCATCTGGCTGCCACTTGTTGGACCATTTGTAGCTTCCGATCAGTCTTCAAAGGCAACCCCACATAGGGATTGTAGTGAAGGCTCCTTCTCTGGAGGCTTTTAAACAGAGGCTGGATGGCCACCTGTCAGGAGTACTTTGAATATGCTTTTTCTGCATGGCAGAATGGGGTTGGACTGGATGGCAACGTCTTTGTAGACTTGCAGTCTTAGGAAGGTAATCTAAAAGCAGTATACCAAGTGTTGTACATAAATAACCTCAGTGGTTTTCTTTTTCATTGTCCGTGTTTTCTTTACAGCCATCAGAGGACCTTTGTGCTGGAGGTGATGGGTCGTCACTGCGGGTAGGAAACAGTGCTTTTTTAAAAAATTAGAATATTATCTGCATTTGGATGTAACATTAAATCATGGCTTTGGCTTAGCATAATGTGTGTAGTATCTTCCTTGAGTCAAGTACTTATTTCTCCCCAATGCTTCTGCTTTCATTCTAGATTAACCACTGTTTACTGTGTTGTCCAAACCCAAATGTAGCATATACTAACAATATACTTACTTGAAAGAAAATGTTGTTGGCTTACTTTTACTAAATATGGATATGGCATTGCCCTACTATTATTGTAATCCAATTTGTGTGATTTTATTCCATGTTTAAGTCAGCTGTTGAGATGAAGAAAGCGCCTCTCTTTCCTTAGAAAGTTTGAATGCAGACCACTGCCAGTTTTGCCCACAAGGAATGAATGATGTGCAGTACTGTTCTTATACTGTTGGAACTTAAAAAGCAACATTCCTTGCAGTCTAGTCAAACTTAACCATAAATAAGCTTTGATACAGAGCTTAGATTTTCAATGCAGTCTTTAAGATCTAAGCTTTAGAGCAGATCAGTAAACTCTTCTGCCCTTTCTCTCTTCTTGTAGCTATCTAGCCCTTGTAACAGCCTTGGCAAGTGGAGCAGACTGGGTTTTCATTCCAGAATCTCCACCAGAAGATGATTGGGAGGAGCACTTGTGCAGGAGGCTAACAGAGGTAACAAAACTCATAGGCCATATTTGAGGGCTTCCTACCTAGTCCTTACAGAGCTACAGTGGTGCAATGGGTTAAACCCTTGTGCTGGCTGAGCTGCTGACTGGAAGGTTGGGTTGCTGATCTGAAGGTTGCCGGTTTGAATCCGCAAGATGGGGTGAGCTCCCATCTGTCAGTTCTAGCTTGCGGGGACATGAGAGAAGCCTCCCAGCAGGGTAGTAACACATCTGGGCGTCCCCTGGGAACCGTCTCTGTAGATGGCCAATTCTCTTAACACCAGAAGCAACCTGTAATATGTTCTCAAGTTGCTTCTGACACAATTTTAAAAAAACTAGTCCTTAAACCAGCGATGGGACTACGGGCCATCGCTTGAGGACTGCATTGTTCATCATCTCCAGCCAGCTATGGCCAGTTGCCAGGGATGAACAGATTTTGAGCCCAACAACTTGAAGAGGACTCTGGTTAATTGCTTTCTCCTAGTTAGTTACCATAGTTACCTACTACTTTTCCTGAGTTTGCTTTTAAATAAAGAAAATAAAGCTGTGCATATTGCCAGCATATGTCAGTCAGAATTTCCAGGTGCTGCAACATTGCTTTTCAAATTGATGTTAAATAGCCTGCAGAAAAGTAGAGATATTCGTAAGATGCTAGTCCTATGTGCCAAAACATCAAGCAGTGATCCTTCAGCAGCACTTTCTGGAATTGGCCATCCGGGGAGGAGAAGGCCATTGAAAAGAGTGCCTCTAGCAGCTAACTCATGCCACTTCTACACTGTCCTTATATCTTATGATCTGATCCCAGGTTATCTGCTTTGAACTGGATTATATGAGTCTCCACTGCCATATAATCCGGTATAAGAAGATAATCTGGGATCAGATCCTGAGATATAAGGACAGTGTAGAAAGGGCCATGGACAGCTTTCCCAAAAAGGTACCATGGGCCTTTGACACAGAAAACACTGAGAGATGCTGTGGAGCCTTGCAAAATAAATAAGGAGGTCTAGTGAGTTAGTAGTACTTCACTAGGCAACACATGACATCATTTTGTAATAGTAGCCTTGCAAGCTAGAAACAGGCCTTTTCAGAATGGAAGTGGAAACATCCTTGGACACACTCCAGTTTTGCACAATGCAATTATGGGACTAGTAGATGTAGAAGAGGTTTTTTTTTCCTAGCAAGCTTTGTCTTCTAAGGTGATGAATGCAAGTTCTCTTCCAAAACAAGTTGTGCTGTTTTCCTTCTCTTTTCTAACAGACAAGAACTCGGGGTTCACGATTGAACATCATCATTGTAGCTGAAGGAGCCATTGACAAGCACGGCAAGCCCATTACTTCAGAGGACATTAAGACTGTGAGTGGCAGCAATCCTGTTTCCATTTAGATCCTTGGCTCAGGACTGTGATGAAATGAAGCTCCTGGTTATTTATTTATTTGTTGTGTCAGAAGCACCAGAAGCACATTGAGAATGCAGTTATAATGTATTTAAAAACCCACTAACAAAATTAAAAACTTGGCATTATACTAAATTTCCTTTGAGCAGTAGCTGGCCATTTCAAGTGCTTCTGGTGTCACTGTAAGAAGGTCGTCCGTTGTGCATGTGGCAGGGCTCAGACTACATTGTAGTAGTTGGTCTGTGGTTTGCTCTTTTCTACACTCGCATGTTGTGGACGCCACTTTGTGGCCTCATTTCTTAAGGTTGGCTCTGCATCTCGTGGTACCTGAGCTCAGTCTGTTCAGATGCCTTCCAAGTTGTCCAGCCTTCTGTGTGCCCAGGAGGAAGTTTCTCATCTGGTATCAGCCATTGGTTGAGGTTCCAGGTTTTAGCCTGCCATTTGCTGAGGTGTTCCTGCAAGTACCTCTGTAGATCTTAGAAAACTATTTCTTGATTTAAGGCCTTGGCATGCTGGCTGGTATTTGAACAGGGAATGGGCTGGAGATGTCACTGCCTTGGTCCTTTCATTATTAGCTGCTATTTCCCAGCGGATGTCGGGTGGTGCAGTGCTGGCTAGACAGTATAATTTCTCCAGTGGTGTTGGACATCCTGTACCATTATAGGACGATTCTCATTGGCGGCTGCTCCACTGGCTACCGATCTGCTTCCAAGCTAAATACAAAGTGCTGGTCGTTAACCTTTAAAGCCCTAAACCAGGCATCCTCAAACTGCGGCCCTCCAGCTGTTTGGGCCTTCAACTCCCAGAATTCCTGACAATTGAACAAGATTCTGGGAGTTGGAGGCCCAAACAGCTGGAGGGCCGCAGTTTGAGGATGCCTGCCCTAAACGGTTCAGGCCCAGACTATTTGAAAAAATGCCTTTCTGCATATAAACCAACACAAGCAAGGCAATCTGTGAAGGAAGCCCTTCTCTAGGTCCCACCCCATCTCAAGCGCGGCTGGTGGGAACGAGAGAGGGGCTAAATATGTTAATTACTTCTGACCATTATTAGAGTCATTAGAAAAATATGTCCCAATTATTTTACTTTGTATATTTGAATTTCACACTTGTTATTGAGTTGTTTTATAAGTATATCCTGATGCTGTCTATTTGATTTATTGTCGAAGGGTTTCATGGCCGGAATCACTGGGTTGTTGTAGGTTTTTTCGGGCTATATGGCCTTGTTCTAGAGGCATTCTCTCCTGACGTTTCGCCTGCATCTATGGCAAGCATCCTCACTAGATGCTCACTATCTCTGAGTATCCTTACCATAGATGCAGGTGAAACGTCAGGAGAGAATGCCTCTAGAACATAGCCATATAGCCCAAAAAATCTACAACAACCCTGTCTATTTGATGGTTTATTATTTGAAGTGCTTTATTAAGTTTTGTTTCCCAGGCATTGAATGTTTGCTGGTCTTTTTTTGTACACTGCTCTGAGTCCCTTTTGTGAGACAGGGCAGTGTTGTTGTTGTTGTTGTTGTAAGAACAATGACACAATGAAATAGACTGCCTTGGAAAAAGCCTCCTTCTTTGGAAGTCTTCAAACAGAAGATGGTTTGCCATCTTCAGGGGTTCTTTAGTGATGTAGTCCTTCTTTATTCAGAAATAAAGGGAGAAATTGAAAGAATAAGAACAATGCAAAAATACATAACATATAAAACTAAAATTACTGCATCTAACACAACTAAATCTAAAACAATCACCCTAACCTAAAACGTATCAACAGTAATAATCACATATTAGACACTCAATTACTGGAAATATTCTACAACCTTAGCACTCATTGTCTGTTGATTTTTACTCCTTTTATATTTTTAGTCATGCATTCCTATATGATGCGGGTTGGGCAAGACAGTCTTTGTGGCCTCTTTCAACTCCACGTTTCTATCATTTAAAATTTGGAAGTGATCATATCATTTTGTTGTCTTCTTTCCTCTACAGCTGGTTGTGAAACGCCTGGGCTATGACACAAGAGTCACCATCCTTGGACATGTGCAACGCGGTGGGACCCCCTCTGCTTTTGATCGTGTCCTGGTAAAAACAAAAAAGCAATAAGATTCTGCTCCAAATATTTTGTATGTATACAGTATGCCTAAATACTGGGCTGGGAGACAGGAGAGCAATCTTCTCAATATATAGCCCCACAGTCTGAGGCAGTGCTAGTTGTTGGGAGACCATTGGAAAGTGTTTCTTTTACAAAAGGTTGTTCTTTATGGGTTGTTTGTGTTAGTAAAAGAAATACTTTCTAGAATGTTTCCAATCTGGAATTAATTAGATCTCAGAAGAGTATTATTATGTGTTGTCAAAAGCTTTCATGGAACGTACAGCCCCACTGTTATGTCAGCTCCACTGGCTGCCAGTTTGCTACCAGCTTCCATTTAAAGTATTGCATTTAGCCTATAAAGCCTGAAACCGTTCTGGTCCAACTTACCTGTCCGAACATATCTCCCTTTATTAGCCAGTTAGAGCCTTAAGATCTGCTAGGACAGTCCTGCTCGTTCCCACCCCCTTCGCATGTGTGACTGGTGGGAATGAGAGACAAGGCGTTCTCAGTGGTGGCCCCTCAGCTATGGAACTCCCTCCCCAGTGACATTAGACTGGCCCCATCTCTCCTGGTCTTCAGGAAAAAGTTAAAGACCTGGCTTTGCACACAGGGAATAGTATAATATGGAATTCGACTTGAATGTAGCAGCTTGTATAATAGCTATGAGACTCAGTACTGTGTTTTTAATCTGGTCTATTGTATTTATATGTTTTAACTGTTTTATAATTTGAGATGTTATATTTATTATTTGTATGTATAATGTGGCATTGAATTTTGCCATGATTTGTAAGCCACTCTGAGTCCTCTTCGGGGTGAGAAGAGCAGGGTATAAATATAGTAAATAAATAAATAAACAAGCTTTCTGTTCTGAATCTTGTAGGGAAGCAGAATGGGCGTGGAAGCCGTGATGGCCTTACTAGAAGGAACCCCAGATACCCCAGCATGTGTTGTCAGCCTTTCGGGTAACCAAGCCATCCGCCTTCCTCTTATGGAGTGCGTCCAAGTGGTGAGTATTTCTTGGCCCTGGTTTTCCTGCTGCGTTGATCCAGGTCTAGACTGAGACGTTTTGATGCTTCTGACAAAAACCAGTAGATGTTCTCTCCCCCAAACACACACACGCAAAGCATATAATCAATTTGTTTTACAACCAGAGGCAGAAACCTCACACAAGTGTCTCTTCCATTTTGGGGGTCCTTTTACACTACAGAATTATAATGCTGTGATTTTACTTCAGCCACCATCGCTCTATGCTATGGATTTCTAAGCTTTGTAGTTTGGTCAGCGGAAGCTGCAGTCAAGTTTGCCCTCTAAGATAAGAAGTTGTAATTTTTTCTTTCAACAGACAAAGGATGTCACAACAGCAATGAATGAAGGGCGGTTTGATGAAGCTCTTAAACTTAGAGGAAGGTGAGTGAATACCACTGTGTTGAGCCATTGTGTGTTGTGTTCCCCCCCCCCCCCCGGAATTTGGTATTATGTTTTTGAACTATACTTCCCAGAATTTTACAAGCAGCATAGCCAGAATCCCTTAGTTCATCTTTATGGCAATCAAAACACACTAATACATTTTATTATCATCATCATCAACAACAACAACAACAACAACATACAATTTCTGAGAGACAGTGTGCTGTGTTGATTTGAGTGCTGAATCCAAATGGAAGACCAGGGTTTGAATCCCTATGCAGCTGTGAAAACCCATTGGGTTACCTTGGGCAAGTGACATTCTCTCAGTTTCAGAGGAAGAAAAAGCAAATATCTTCTAAACAAATCTTACCAAAAAATCCCCATGATATGTTTGCTAGAAATCAGAAAGTACTTGAAGGTACACAACAATTATACATCCCTAACTCAAAAAGCTCAACATCTAAAAACTTCTGGAAACAATGCCTTTAATGACTCTTCCTTATGTAAGGAATGATCCTGGAAAAAGTATACACTTTGTGTGAACAGGACTCCAGAAAGTTCCCCAGACTTTAGCAACAGCTTTGGAAACAAGATGGTGGTGCCTGAAGGGAAGAACAGATAGATTATAGGCAATAGTTAATTGTAATTCACATGTACATAAGACTTGTGTTGAGCAAGTGGGCTTATTAACAAAAGACCCTCCTCATAAATGTAAAGCAGAGTAGCTTATCAGCAACAGCGTGAGCCAGTACCAGTAGCCAAAAGTGACAAAAAGAACAAAAACACACAGACCAATATTATCTCTACCATAGGAGGCTTTTGTAGTAGTAAAATAATATAGTTGCACTAATTACAATAAAAAGGTTTCCACAACACAAATAAAGTCCTTTATACTTCCTTCTTTGCTTCCGTGTTGGGATTCTTCCTCATGCAGATAAACAGCTTTGCTCTCACAGAGACTCCTCTCACAACGAATTTATACTGGAGCTTCAAACAGTTGCTGTTTACACACAGCAGCCTTTATACACGAGGCCTTTAACCTGGGACTTCTTTCACCAAAGCTTCTCACACCAGGCCTTCTCATACTCAGCCTTCTCATAGACTAAGGTAGTACTTCACATACTTCTTTTATTACAATAACACTGTCAGGTACATCAATGGAAGTTGAGATGAGATTGCCTAATTTCTGAACTGGGCTGTGATTTGAAAAAGGTGATTTTGGATTCATGGCTGGGTCTTTTAAATGCTGTCATCATCAAGGGATTTGGGGGAACAGAGTGTGGCTTCCTTTTGAATGAGGTTAATCCATGACTATTCTATTCTCACAGGAGTTTCCAGAATAACTGGAATGTTTACAAGATCTTGGCTCATGTGCGCCCACCCACTGCAAAGGTAAGAGTTGGCGAAGGGCTAATTTGCAAACTGTGGAAAAAATATAGATCAGTGCAGAGCTTGAGAAAGTTGCCGATAGGCTGAGAAAAGCAGTATACAAGTATAGTAAATAAATAAATAAATAAATAAATAAATATTTATGGACTATATATTGGCAGTGGGACCTCTGGGCATTGTAATCCAAACTGTAACTGTTCCAAATTCTATTGTAACAATATGGTACCTGTTTTGTCAAGAGAAGAGCCTCTGGCATCTAATTTTTAAAAGTATCTAGTGATATTTTGAAATGACTGAAAACCCCTAGTGAACTTTTAGCAAAGAAACATGGAAATCACTACATAGCTGTTGGTTTTGGGAATTGTGAAGAAGTGTGTAATGTAACTCTAGAGAGAGATGTATGATTTCATTATATGTGTCTATAAAAGGTAAAGGCAAAGGTTTTCCCCTGACATTAAGTCCAGTCGTGTCCGACTCTGGGGGTTGGTGCTCATCTCCATTTCTAAGCCGAAGAGCCGGTGTTGTCTGTAGACACCTCCAAGGTCATGAGGCCAGCACGACTGCATGGAGTGCCCTTGCCTTCCTGCTGGAGCAGCTCCTATTTGTCTATTCACATTTGCATGTTTTCGAAATGCTAGATTGGCAGAAGCTGGAGCTAACAGCAGGAGCTCACCCCCACTCCCCAGATTCGAACCACTGATCTTTTGATCAGCAAGTTCTGCAGCTCAGTAGTTTAACCCACTCCATCACTAAGGGCTCCCTATATGTGTCTATTAGAAGCAGAAAAAAAGGAAGAAATCACTTTTCAATTTCTCTGTATTTCTTTGAACTTTGATCTCTCAGAATCCTATTCCAACACTCGAAGCACAACACTGCACTAAGCCTGTGGCTAGAGGCAGCTGCCTCACCTTGCGCAAAGTCTGAGCCAGCCTGGCTCTGTGGCTGTGTGTCTATCCATGTGAATGATTCTTTATAGTGATCCAGAGCTCCCAAAACAAGGGTATGTTAGAAATGGAGCACTGTGTGCCTGAAACCCACCCTCTCCTCAATTTGTCCCAATCCCTTTCTGCGTTGCAGAGTGGCTACAATTTGGCGGTGATGAATGTGGGGGCACCAGCAGCTGGCATGAATGCAGCCGTAAGGTCAACTGTCAGAATTGGATTGATCCATGGCCACAGGATGCTGGCTGTACATGATGGGTTTGAAGGCCTTGCTGAAGGAAAGGTACTTCCATCAATTCATTTATTTATTCATTTTATGAAGGAGATTCCTTCTTCCTTTCACAATGGTTGTGCTGTTGTTTGGCATAGTCGTGTTTCCTGCATCACTGTTCTCAAAGAGCTGCTTGTTTAGGATTCACAGAAATGCACCTGGTACTGCAATTATTTGTAGTGAAAATAAACCTGGGAAGGCAGGTAGCTAAGCTAGTCTAAGGCAATGAAGGCAGCAGACAGTATTTTGGCTAACAGATTTTACTTGGCATAAACTTTCACAAATGCCAGCCCACTTATTCAGACACCTGGAATGTTGCCTTACTTGGAAGAACTTGTGTCTGTAGACACACCTGTGGGACATTGTGAATGAAACGTTATGCCTGTGAAGAGATTGCCTTCAGTCCACAGGCCAAAATCTGTCTACTGGGTTCCCTTATTTGCCTGACTGTTTTCCGAATTGTCCTTCTCCCATCCTGAAGCACCATGTCTTCTGAAAGGAGTGTTTGGTTTCATCCCTGGACTGCACAAGTCTCTTATGTCATCAAGTCTCCGGTCCTCAATGAGTAGCTAGACTAGGGATAGGATTAGGCTGAGAGATTCCTCCCTCACATTCATATGCATGTGTGATGAAGTGTAGATTTTTGTCTGCAGTTATGTATTGCTATAGATGAGTGTTTATAAGGGTAAGTATAAAGTATTGCATAATATTAGGGGATGGTGGCCAGCTTAGCTCGCTTTGAGCTGCTGTGACGATAGGGGCGGAGCCAGCTGCCGCTTGGTAGAGCAGCCATTTTAAAGCAGTCAGTCTGTGGTCAGTGAACTTCAGAAGTGGCTGGTTCTGCTGTGTGTGGAGGACCAGTGACGATTCTGTAGTCAAAGAACTACAGGGGAAGGCTGATTCTTTGGTATTGAGAATCAGGAAGGTTTTGGCTTTGAGCCAATATAATTTAGATAAGTCGAGTGACTTATTTATATTAAAAGTAACGGTTGTGGAAAAAGAGGGGAAGCCCTAATAAACATCTTTATTGTAACAGAACCATCATAAAGAAAGGATAAGCGTGTGCCTGAAACAATCTGTTAAAGAAAGAAACATCTTTTTAAAGGAACTAAGTTTGAGACCTGTTTGTTAGAAGAATTAGACCTCCTAAGAGTTATTTAAGAACTGTTATAAATGTAACCATTGAAGATCTGTACCTCTAAGAGAAAGGACACTTTGAAACCATCAAGCTTCTGTACCTCAATAAACTTGTTACAGTTTCTTTTTAAAGTCAAGCCTATGTTACCATTCTTTTCCAAGTCAAGTCACGCTACATACTGAAGAAAGACTAAATCCATATTACAAGCTATTGGTTGTGTTATCAATTTCATAAGCCCTCACAAAGAGGTGGCTTCTTTTACCAACTCCCTACATATTGATAGTAGTTATATTTATACATCCTTACAATTTGGTGGCATCATTACAAATTAGTGGCCAAGCCTTTACAATTAGTAGCAGTAATATAGGGGCTCCTTCACAGCATGTTTACCAAGACGGGCTTTGACTTTCCTCCTCCTCCTTACTACTGTCTCCCCCCCCCCCTCCTTTGAAGTTGTAGCAATGGAATCTCTGGGAGGGAACTTCCCTTTTCAAAGGTATTTTTATTGCCCGGGGCTTGGCCATGTGGCCATTCGCCACCATTGTCTCTTCTGCCTTTTCTTCTTTCCAGTGAGCATGCACATTTTGCCTCTTTCTTTAGGCAAAATGTAGCTGCATGGACTTTTTTTTTTACTTTTTACCCTTTTACCTCTTTAGAAGATGTGATTTAGTAAGCTAGGTAGCTCCAAAATCTTTTCTATCAAGAATGTATTTTTTTTACTTCCATAAATATTTTTGAACCTAAAGTTCTGACTCTGCAATCTTTTGCCATCCTAAGGAATAGAAGCTTATTCTAGCTCATGACATGTAAGCTTCTGCTGGTTATGAAGTTTGCTTCTCGTACTCTGCTATATTTATGGTCAGTATCACCCCAACTGAGGGTTATTTTTGAACCTAGCAACTCTGATTCCCCAACAAGGAGGAGATGGGGCTTCCAGAACTGATTTTGCTTTCCCTTTGCCTTTCTCTGGCTGAGAAATAAAAGTGAAAATCAATCACATGAAAGCTAGTTTGAGAGCTAGCTGACTCCTGAGGTGAAGTCTGAGCAGTTATTTAGCATTTAACTGCTGCTTTCAGTCTCAATTCAGAAATAAAAGTGGAATAGAAATAAATAGATACAATAGTAACAACAACAACTAGGCAGAGTTTTGGACAGTCTGGCTTTTAGCCTCTATGGTATTCCGGTGGCAATGGAGCTATGTCCACAAGTTGTAGTGCCCCTACATCTTCTTCCCAAGATAGGAACTGGGAGAGAACCAACCTGCCAATGCAATCTGATTCTAAATCCCTGTGTCTTGCCATCGTAAATGTGTTCGTTTTGGGGTTATCGTAGGGATTTTTGTTGGTATTGCTGTGACAGGTTTGCTTTTAGGAAACGGAGCCTTTCCCCTAATCAGCCTCCTCCTATCATCAAATCTCTCTTTTTCTAGGTTGAAGAAATTGGATGGAGTGGAGTTGGCGGCTGGACTGGAAGAGGTGGATCAAGCCTTGGGACGAAGAGGTATTGAGACAGAGGACAGAGAAATGACTAAGGACATAGAAATGTTTGAAACTATGCATAACTCTGTGTTAAGGTTATTTTTTAAAGATAATACTGTATAAACTTATGTATAAGCCTATAAATTTTAGTCATAAAAGCTACCTGAGTCGACTCGTACTAGGTTCAGTGTGAGGACAGTAGCTGAAATCTGAATGAAAAACTACCACCACCCACTCCTGTAGCATAATGTTATTTGAAAAGGAACCATTCCATTCTCTGAGTAGATTGGAGAAAGGCTTCTTTAAACAATGATATGGCAGGAAAATGGTGGCAGCGGTGTAGCCGGCACCTTGAAGTCGCACTGACACAATACACTCTTAGTGAAGTGACCATCAACTTATCCGTGGGTCTATAGTTTTGGTCCCAAAACCTGCCATGAGCTTATACAGCAGCTGAAAGGCATTATTTACTAACTTTGAAGGCATGTGTATAATCATACTCTTCTGAGGTACAGAATTAGCCCCAGTGGAGCCTGATTCAAAAGAACTAATCTAGATGAGTGTCACTGAAGAGAAGCATCGGATAGTCTGCTTGAAAGCATAGGTTATGTCACTGAGTTTCTGCACTAGGAGGAATGAACTGTGTCTTTCAGATCATGAACTGAAACAGCTGAAAACTCCCAAATTTCCAAGAGAATATTGACTGGAAGTGGATTAGGAATCATAGGATCATGTTGTGGATGTGCCAATATTAGGGCTTTCTGTAAGATGTCAAACAAAGAAAGGGGCGCCGTTGCTTTTCTCTGACATTTCTTATTCACTCACAGGACACTGCCCAAGAAATACTTTGAGGAAATCAGCAGCACAATTGCCAATTTTAATATTCATGGCCTGATCGTCATTGGTGGCTTTGAGGTATGTCTCAAGCAATTATGGACAAAACATAAAGGAATAAATTAAAAAAGGCAGTCATCTTTCACTTACAGTATTAACAACCTGATGCATGAGTGTGTAAGTTATTAAGCTCCACAGAACTCCCAGACAGTGTGTGCTAGTTTCTGTGGCTGTGGATCGGAAGAAGCACCCTCTCTATCCATAGCAGAGGTGGGAATTGTGCAACCCATTTGCTTTATGAGATTTTTTTATGGTTGTGTGTGAAAATTTCAGCATTCTCTCCCACTCCCCACTTGCAGTTTCCCACTTAATAAATTGTCCCCAAACACACATTAAAAGACCACAAACATTGAAAGCAAAACCAGGAAATGATCAGAACATTGCTTTTAGTTGTGAGAAATGGTGTAGTCTGTGGGATGAAAACAGCAAGAAAAGCTGCCTGGTCTACACTAATATCCCAGTCCAGCTAAGGAAGGAGAGTTACAGGCTAGATAGCAGTAAAGATAAATTGAGAGCTTGCTTAATGAGCTGAGATCAAAGGAGATCACTCAGTTCAACTTGGAGGTTGGGTGGTTATTAAAGCAGTGGTTCTCAACCTGTGGGTCCCCAGATGTTTTGGCCTTCAACTCCCAGAAAGAGTAACAGCTGGTAAATTGGGTGGGATTTCTGGGAGTTTTAGGACAAAACATCTGGGGACTCACAGGTTGAGAACCACTGTATTAAAGTGTTTCTTAAAACCATAACAGGTATTGGTTGTTCTCTTTATTATTATAGCATTGAACGGAACATGCAGAATAATCACAGGAAGTCTTAAACCTACACATGTTGATAAACTCTACAAGCTAGATGGCATTGCCCCCCACTCCCCGATGGAGCAAAGGAAATTGCTGCTAACTGTGAGAGAAATAAGTTTAAACACTGTGAAAGCCACCCACTGCATGGCTATCAGCCTCCTCCCAGTAGATTCAAATCAAGGAAAAGTTTCATGAGAACCAATGCTATGAGTCACAAAGAAGATTCTGGTCTTTCTTTCTTGCAAAAAGTGGATGTGGAGATGCTTTCCAATCAGTCTCCTGGTCTCTTTTTTCATTTCTTTAGGCTTTCACTGGCAGCCTGGAGATGATTGAGGGCCGAGCTAAGTTTGAAGAGCTCTGCATCCCAATCTGTGTGATCCCTGCCACTGTCTCTAACAACATTCCTGGCTCTGACTTCAGCATCGGGGCAGACACAGCCCTCAACACCATCACGTCGGTAAGAGCTTCACTGAAAGAGGCTCATTTTCCGGAGGGCCGTCTGTTGATAGTGCTTTCATTGAGTGTTCAGTATGACAGAAAGGGGTTGGGCTGGATGAGTCTGGTGGTCTTTTGTGCCTCTAGGATTCTATGAGTCTTGAGTGATGCCCTGATACAAATGTCAACATTGAAAGGAAGTGATAATATAAGGAGAAAGTTAAAAAAATGGTTGAGGGCAGTGTTTCAGTGCCTTACAAAACCTCTTATATTTCTGACAAATAGCAGGAGTTGGAGACTCATAACCTCATCAATAGTGTCATCCCTGTACTAGTGCAAATTTAATTCAGTGCTGGTGTTTTGTTCGGAATTGTTGTAACCCAAGTCACTCCATGCATAGGCTGGTCATTCAGATGTTTTATTTGTGTGATTTATATGATTTGTATTTTATTGAATGTTTATTGATGTTGTGTTTATTGATGTTTTGTTTGATGTACTTTGGGCTTGGCCTCATCTAAGCCGCACCGAGTCCCTCGGGGAGATGGTAGCAGGGTACACATAAAGCTTATTATTATTATTATTATTATTATTATTATTATTATTATTATTATTATTATTGCAAACCATGGCCATGCGTGCTTTTCATTTATCTCCTCTTGAAGGAATCCTAGAGAAATATTCCCCATCCAGCCTTTTGTTGTTGTTTTTGTTGTTGTTTAGTCTTCATTCAGAGAGGTGGTTGTCTTTCTGTGACATGTTGTTTATTTATTTAATTCTCAGACTTGTGACCGTATCAAGCAGTCTGCAGCTGGCACCAAGAGGCGGGTGTTCATCATTGAGACCATGGGAGGCTTCTGTGGCTATCTGGCTACCATGGCAGGTTTGGCTGCTGGAGCTGACGCAGCCTACATTTATGAAGATCCTTTCAACATCCGGGACCTGGAGGTGAAAGCCCTTTGCTGCTCAGGGGGCTATGAGTATTTTGTCTATTAAAAAGAAATATCTGATCCACAGAGTGTAGGGGGATGCAACCTCCCAGGGCAAACCTGTGACTCAATGGTGCAGAGCAGATGAGGCATAGCATAGAGGCTTCGTGCCTTGGCATCTTTAAGTATGCCTAAAAAGCCCTTGTTGAAAACCCGAGAAAGCTGCTATCCACAGACTAGGCAAGGGATTTCAGTGTGGTATACTGTGACTCCTAACAGCCTTAGCTGATAGTGAGAAACCATGGGAGCTGCAATCCGAAAATACCTGAAAGGACCCTTCATCCCCCCTCCTGCAAATAATATAGAACTACAACGGTGGCTCTTCGGCTTAGAAATGGAGATGAGCACCACACCCCAGAGTCAGACATGACTGGACTTAATGTCAGGGGACTATCTTTACCTTTTTTTAAGTGAACAAGAAAGTTTCGTTGGGTGAGTGGGCTTATTAACAAAAAAACCCTCCTCATAAATGTATAGCAGAGTAACTTAGAAGCAGCATGACCCAGCAACAGTACCCCAAAGGGATAAAAAGAACAAAAACACACAGACCAATGTTAGATCTTCCATAAGAGGCTTTTCTTTATGGCAAAATGATATGGTCGCACTATTTACAACAACAAGGTTTCCATAACACAAATAAAGTCCAACCTTCACACTGGAGGCCTTCTCATACCGAGGCTTACCTCACACAGAGGCCTTTCTCACAGAGTAAGCCTACTATCACTAAAGCCAATTTCCCCACTGAGGCGTTCTCTCACACTGAGAGCTCTCTCAGATTGAGGTGTTACAAAGCAACAGGCACACCTACTTATATTGAATTCAGCTTTACTGAGTCATTGTATCCATTTAACTCTCAGTGCTTGACTCACATTTTTGTAATTTAAAATACCTAGTTAATTTTTAATATTTCTGACAAGTATTACACAGCTTCCTGTAATCTTTATGTCCCTCAAGAGTAGCCCTCCACTGTAGATTTTAGAACAATAATTCTCAAATTGTGTGTGCAGTTAGGAAACATATACAGAATGAGAAATCTGTGACGTGATACCAGACAAGCTGCCAGTTGTATTGCTGCATAATTTAATGTTCTGGTCAATTAGTCAACCAGCGTTTTCTGAGAGTGGATGACCTGGTCTGGTCTCTATATTAGACTGTTAATTGCTCCTAAAGGAAAGGCATGGTAGAATTGGCTTTTCCTGGAAATACTGTCTGTTGCCGTCACTTGTAATGCAGTGGGACACGGCAGAATCCCCAGCCTTCAGGACAAACCACCTCTTGCTTCTCTCTCTGGGTCACAATATTTATTTGGAACGAAAGCGAAACCCCACCAGTTTGATGCCAAACATTCTATTAAAATATATTACAGAATTAACAATGTTAACATCACAGGCTTCAGTGCCAAGTTTCAGCCTTCCTTCTCACCCAAAGTACTCATAATCTTGGCACTAATACGTCTTTCCATGCTGAAGACACACGACCACCTGGAAAGCGCATGGGGCTTTAAATGTTACGGCAAAATCTATATCAGAGATAGTTTTGTATTGTTTTGCATGGACACATTCTCCCTGCTTCCTTGCGTATGAATTCTCAGAAATGATGTTATTTTTCCTTGGGTTTTTAACAGCTAAATGTGACTCACCTGACTGAGAAAATGAAGACCACAGTGAAGAGAGGTCTAATATTGAGGTACCTGGTACTATTTATCAGCTAATAATAGAAAGGGATTTGAGGCTTACGAAGTATTTCCTTTTGTTTGCAAGGATGAAGAAAGACTATTGTTTGACTGTTTTCTGTCCCTCCGTATGATGCCACAGAATTCAAGGACACTTCTCTATAATAATAGCATTTCAGAATGAAGAGTGAATGGAGAGTTACTAACCTCGAGATCCTTACCTTGCAATGGAACTGTTCATTTCTGGGTTGTTGTTGTTGTTGTTTTGTCACATGGAAGTTTTCTCCTCCATTTCTACAAAAGCATTTGTGTAGACTAAATGGAAGTCATTTAAGGTTAACTTCACAACAGCTCTTTCAGGTCATAAAATGATGTTTGTCAAAGTGTATTAATGATCAAAATATAGCCAGATCAGGAGCAGATATTGGGAGCAATGGGATACTTTTGGTAAATAGTAAGATATAAAAAACAGTTTCATTTTAGGGCCAATGAAACAATGTGAAATTCCTTCCCAGTTCCAAATATGGCAGCCAATTAGAAGAGCAGCAAGAATTGTCTTAGTGCTATATCATAACAAATCTACATTTTTCTTTTTTATTTTACAAAATTTGCAACAGTACATTAAGGCCATTTCTTAGTCACTGTCAGCTTCTGTTTTGGAATTCAAGTCATGTTATTAAGTGGGCCGAGAATATAGGCCATCCAATTAACCTTGAAAATTGGGTGGGGGGGGGATTGGAATAGAAAAATAAGATATACCTGTGCAATGAACCTGAGAGAAAATTGGATGAATATGATGTACATCACACCCCAAAAACTGGCTAGATGCTACACAAACGCAAGCAAAATGTGCTGGAAATGCGAAGAACAAACTGGCTCCTTTTTCCACATGTGGTGGTCATGCAGAATTGCCAAATCTTATTGGAGAAACATTCATGAAAAAATTGAGACGATATTAGAAACAAAGATCGAGCAAGCCAGAATACTTCTTATTAGGAATATCAGAGATAGATCTGGAAATTAATAAAGAAAAACTTTCCAATTATCTTACGACAGCGGCCAGAATCTGGTACGCGAAGTTTTGGAGATCCAAGAAAATCCCAACACAAGAACAGTGGTTGACTAAGATAATAGACATTATGAATATGGATAGATTAACACAGCTAATGAAGGCGAACCAAAAGATAATAAAAATAGATTGGTCCCCGGTTAAGAACTATTTAATTCAGGAAAATTACAAATGGATGATAAATACATAATGACAACTTAATACAATACTACAACTGGAAAAGAAGTAAGAGGGTTAGCTGCCCCTTCAAACATCAACAAAAGAGACTGTGAGACCAGATACGACGACGACTGGAAGTTGAAACTACCCCTTCTATCCCCAACCCCTCACCCTTCTCCCTCCCTGGACTACCCCCTTCTTCCCATTACCCTACCTCCACCCCCAATACCTCCCCATTCTAACCCTCACCCCCTCCTACAAAAGTCTAACTTACCCCCCCCCCTTTTTTTTTCTTTGTTTTTTCTTTTTCTTTTTAAGCTTCACTATAAAATGCTTAATAATTTTTTTAAAGTCATGTTATTGCTTTTTCTTTCCAGGAATGAGAAATGTAATGAAAACTATACCACAGAGTTCATATACAACTTGTATTCTGAGGAGGGAAAAGGCATCTTTGACACCAGGAAGAATGTTTTGGGACACATGCAACAGGTATATTTACTGCCTGACAGTCAGAATGTAGAGCTAAAGCAAATGATGATGATGATAATCATTTTATAAATGAGGAGAAAGAGTTGAATTGCAGTACAAGGCAGGTCAGCCAAGAGAAAAAGCCCAGGGGGAGTGGGCCTTCAGCTAGACACACTAGCCTTCATTGTTTAGGGTATTTAGTGTAGTTAAAAGGTGATTTGCTGCTATGTGAACAATGTCTGGGTTTGTCTATTTTCCTGCTGGAGAAGAAGGCTGAAAGCTTCTGCTTCCCCATAATGTCCAAACTTTGAACTCTGGCATATTTAGACCATCATCTATGAGAACAATCCAGACTCAAACTATGGTTCTGGATTGTGGTTTGTTGGGCAATGTCAGCCCAACCTAATGATTTCCCATTCTCTATGCATCTTCCAGCAGCATCTTGCATAAGTTCCTGGGGCAGATTGGGATTGAGGCTGGAGGAAAAAGAAGGAATTCCTCTATTTCTTTCCATAGGAACATAATGTTCATAGATATCATTTCCCCACAGTGCTGGGCCTCACCTGATTTATTTAACTGAGCAGTTGTCTTGTGGGATGAAATTGCTATCTATTCATTCTCAGCAAAATCTGGAAACTTTTTTTAAAATTCAGGGAAAGTGAACTCTATGCATTTGTTGACCTTGATCTCGGTGAGCTCTTGCAGAGTCGTATGTGTTGCTTTCCATGTTTATCGACTCCACCAGTTTAACAGCTTGTCCACAAATGACGTTCCTCTGGCTACGATTCTAGAAGTAAACTTACCTCCCTCTGCCTTTCACAGGGTGGATCGCCAACTCCATTCGATAGGAACTTTGGGACGAAAATGGGTGCCAAAGCCGTGGCATGGATGTCTGGCAAGATCAAAGAATGCTCCAGACATGGTATGGGGGAGTTTGCCATGGGAGGGTCTGTTGTGTAGTAGGTTAACACCAGGTGCTGTAGCCATGATGCATGAACCTCTTAAGAAAAAAAAAGGGGGGGGGGGTAGGCAACAGAATCTGTCATTGTGTCAAAACATCAAATTGCTGCCGATTGGAAGCCACCCTGAGTGCCCCCCAAAGGGTTGAGAAGGGCGGGGTACAAATATTTGAAATAAAAACATAAAGTTGCCAAGGCAAAGCGTGGATGCAGCATTTGAAGTAGGATGAAACTTTTAGAGCTGCTTCTGGTCTTCATCACTACTGTCTCAAAGGAGCTTACATTAGTCAGTGCTCTGGCAATAAAACCCAAAGCAGTGTCCACATATTCCACTAACATAGTGCTGCCAGCTTTCCACTGCAGTCTTATTGCTCCTGCAACTCCCAGGTCATTTTCACCGCAAAAGTTAATGTGGCATAAGGGGCTGCAGCCAACAAGGAGCAGCACTGCCCATGCTGGTATACTTTGAGGCTCTTCAAAATCTAACCTTAATAAATAGATTTGTTCTTTTTTAGCCTGAGCCCAGATGTTTGTAAGGCATACTGCAAGTGTATACGTCGAGACATTTAAGTAAAAAAAAAAAAATTGACCCCCAAATCTGGGTCAGTTTATCCATAGATCAATGTAACCTTAAATCAAGTATAAAAAGGAACCATGTCTGGCTGTATTTCAGTTACAGAACTCTGTGAATGCTGTTGTGTTTGTTTTTAGGCCGTATTTTTGCCAACACTGCTGATTCAGCTTGCCTCCTGGGCATGCGAAGACGGGCACTTGTTTTCCAGCCTCTCAGTGAACTTAAACAAGAGACAGATTTTGAGTAAGTACCTCTCCTTTCTTCTCTGTGGGTGCAGTCATTGAGTAAGTAAGCCCTTCAAATGTAGGATATAATAACTTTCTGCCAGCTAATCTGTTAAAAGCCAAAAAAATCCCACTTTAAAAAGTCACTGCATTCTGGGAAATGTGGATCAAGAGCATTCTTCTGCTTTGACCCATCCCTAGAATAATGGAAGAACTATGGTAAGCTTGAAGGTGCTGTTTGTTTACTTTCACTATTCCACATCTTATTTCTACAAGAATCCAGTGAGATTTGACATATAAAGGAATCTTTTCCAGGGTTTAGAGCACTAATAATGTAGCTAATAAAATGCTGCAGATTTAACCAATAACATTCCAGTTAAAGTTACTATGGCAAGCTATGGTAGTTATTTGTCTTCAGAACGTCCCATGGCCTTGAGGCATAACCTGGAAAAGGTTGAGCATCTGCAACAACCAGAATGCAAGGCCAAGGAAAGAATTCCTTTGTGAAGGGCTTTTCTCTCCTTTTTTCTCTCCAACAGGCACCGCATCCCCAGGACTCAGTGGTGGCTGAAACTTCGTCCTATCTTAAAGATCCTTGCCAAGTACAAGATTGAGTTGGATACCTCAGAGACAGCCCACCTAGAGCATATCACCCGCAAGAGAGTATCAGGTGAAGGCGCTCTGTGAACGACTCATGAAGATGCTGCAGCTCTCTCTTAAAATTATGATGCTTAAAGATATATATTAAACTAAATTCTATATTGACATTTCCTTCCCCAGTTTAGCATGCAGCTGTCCATCTAGTGTCTTTGTGTCAATTGTTGGGGCTTCATGCATGCATGCTATCACTGAAGGAAGACAGTACATCAGAATGGAGTGCCACATGTCAACAAATGAAGTAAATAAATAAATAAAATAATAAATAAATGTAAGGCATACAGGCAGAAGATAAACATTTAGTCTTTATTATATCCTGCCCTTCTTTTATAAAACTCCGGATTATAATGGGTTCCTTGTGGTCCTCCATCCAGGACTAGCCAGCCTACTATTTGTTTTGCTTCAAAATTAGTTTCTCCGAGTCTCTTCACCAAAACTTTGCAGAGTTGTAAGTCACCGATTTCAAAAGGATGTAAATGAATGAGTAGACATTTGAACTATTTGACCTTACTATTAGGATACATCCTCCATTTGAACAAAAAAGTGTCAACAAGGCCAGAATGCCTTCTCAGGTGCAATTTACAGTTGCACTTAAGAGCCCAAAAGTCTTTTAAGTGCTCAAAATAAAGCAAACTTTTTGACTAGAGCAGGGGTCCTCAAACAACTTTTTAAGCTGAGGGTCGGTTCACGGTCACTCTATTGAGGGGCAAAACTATAGTTTGGAAAAAGAAATGAACACATTTCTGTGCACACATCTTATTTGTAGTGTAAAATCATGAAGGATTACAATATTGAAAATGAAGAACAATTTTAACTAACATAAACTTACCAGTATTTCAATGGGAAGTGTGGGCCTGTTTCTGGCTGATGAGATAGTCTTAATTAGGATAGGATTTGTGTGCCTTCAAGTCAGTTCAGACTATCACAGAGTTTTCTTGTCAAGATGTATTCAAAGGGAGTTTGCCTTTGTCTTGGCTGAAAGAGTGTGACTTAGCTAAAGCCAACCTTTCTTTCTATCTCTCTTTCTCCCTCCCTTCTACCCTACTTCCTTTTCTTCTCTCTCTCCCTTCCACAGTGGTGGTGGTGGGAATGCAAAGAATGGGGGTGGCTGGAAAGGAATGGCGTCAGGAGCCAAATAAAAGACCTTGGCAGGCCATATCTGACCTGCAGGTCATAGCTTGAGGACCCCTGGACTAGAGTTTACAAATGTGGATTTCCTGTCATAGCAGCCCCATCTTGTGGTTGCTTCTTGGTGGACTGCAGGTTGAGTGAGCTGGAAAGTCTAAGCAATCAATCAGTGTTGTTGATGGCTTCAGTGACTGGAATCACTGGGTTGCTGTGAGTTTTCTGGGTGATATGGCCATGACATTTCACCCACATCTATGGCAGGCATTCTCAAAGGTTGTGAGGTCTCACAACCTCTGAGGATGCCTGCCATTGATGCGGGCAAAACGTCAGGAGAGAATGCTTCTGGAACATGAGCATGCAAACTATTCTGGTGGAAGGGGGCATCTGACATGCCAACAGCCTATTTTGTCCATCCTGGAATGCTTCTTCTTTACTAAGATTTTCCATCCTACATTTGTAAGTTCAATTACTTTCTTCAAAACTGTAATACAATAAAGCTTTCTAAACCATCAGCTGGAAAGTGCAGGAGAGGTCTGCTTTTATCTGCTTTTGTGTTTCACTAGGCAAAGCCAATTCAACTCAATAGTTTGGTTCCTAGCAATTCAAGGTGCTTGTGGGACTACCAAAGGCTCACGCAATACAGATGAACACAAAAGCCTGAGGGGAACTGTCTGTCTGGAAGGCACTCATAGGCCCACCTATTTGGAGGGGCTATAAAATAGATAAAGGCTGGAACTGAACAGCCATCAACAATCCACCTGATGCAGGAGTATCATTGCATACTCTTTGTCCATAGCTACTTTTCCTCACAGGCAACATTTCACATTGGATGCTTTTCCTGCAGCAGGAGGCGTATCATCCACACATTTTGTGTATGTGTGTGTACTTATAGTGTCTGCTAGAGAAAGAGATTACTGTGAACTTTAAGAAGTCATTTTAACAGATTCTAGAAACAATAAAAACACAAATCACAAGATAAAAGCTGTCCAGTACACAACACATTTAATCAACAAACTGTTAATAACCCACACAAGTAATCCGCTCACTTAATAACCTTCCTCAGAGCAACAAAATTCTTGGAAAGGGATACTCAAAGCTTACACCATGATTTGTTCCTCACAAAAGGTCTGCTAGGACAGTTCCAAGCCCATAGGACTGAAGACTGCAGGCAAAGAGAATGAGCACATTGAATATAAGTTCTTCTAGGGCGGTGGCTCCCAACCTTTGGTCCTCCAGGTGTTTTGGACTTCAGCTTCCACAATTCCTAACAGCTGGTCCGCTGGCTGGGATTTCTGGGAGATGAAGTCCAAAACACCTGGAGGACCAAAGCTTGGGAACCACTGTTCCAGGGAAGACTGCAGCAGCAATGGTTTAGAAGTTGCTCAATAAGAGGCCTTCCCATCCTGGTGTCCTTTAGATGCATTGGACTACCCCTCCTGTCAACCCAGGCAGCAAAGCAAAAAGCCAAGCTGGCTGAGGATGATAGGTACTGTTCTATTACATTTGGAGAACACTGGACTTGAGAAGGATCGGGTGAGAACAAAGATTGTCTTGATTGAAGAGGATAATTATGCCCGTTGCCATAATTAGTGGGTGCATCTGCTTAGTCTCCTTCCAACAGCATTGAATCCAACTCATCCCACTCAGTTGCCAGCATCACTCTGCAAATGCCAAAGCAATATGCCATCTTGAGGGAGGGGAGACACCTAAGAACTCCCCAAACAGTCATGCTATAAGAGTTCAAGACTCTAAGATACTTTGTTCTTAGAAATCAAAATCCTAATTAAACCCCTGGGTTTCTAGACAGCAGCCCTTGTTCTGGCCCAAGAAAAGGCTCATAATCTTTTCAGGGATATATTCCCTATCTTTTAAATTAGGAAGCAAATAATTGAATTGGTTTACCAAGAGTTTAAAATCCATTGGATTAGGGATTTGTCCAATTATTCAGGTATAAGACTTGCTTAGGCAGAGACCTAAGGCAGCAACTAGAAACTCTGAAGTTAGCAATATCGGAAGCCTGCAGTTGTTGCTTGACACTAAGGGACCTGTACCAACGGCAATTGGAGGGGGAGCAAATGAACGTTGTAGCTTTCTATTTTTTTTCCTCCAATTCATAATATCAAATATAAGTTTTAAAATACAACCACTCCTACACGCATATATATGGCGGTTGAAAAAAAAAGTTGTAACAAGTGTCAAGGCATGAGTGAAAGCAAACCAGTAAACACCTGAAGAGATTTTAAAAGTACTGCTGCTGCAAACCTTGATAAAAAGAGCCCAGCAATGCTGTGACCCCGTAACACTTAAAACTGTGCTTCTTCAGCTTTAAAGCCATCAAGCACACAGAGTGTGGAGATGGACTAACTTCCATATCACTACACAATGCATGCAGTGTATCAACACACCAAGAGCTGTCTCACTAGTGGTTTTATTTTAATAAGGAGATGGGGGGGGGGGGGTGGATGACAACTTTGTAATCTCTCTACCTTTGAAACAACAACTTTGCCTGACTTAAATCAGCGAGACAACTCCAATAAGGCTGGGTCTAAACATTTACAGAATGAGGTGGGAATATAGTGTATTATTTTACACTACCAATTCTCATCTTCATATATATTTCTGAATACTGGTTTACTACACAAAAACTAGAGCAGCTTAAGAACTTATTTGCTGTGAGCTATTAGCTTTCTATTTGCAGCAAGCTTGTGCTTCTCCCTCACTCAACCTTCAATTAGACTGAAGTAACATGAAACCATCACATCAGGACTTCATCTTCTTATTCTGTAGAAAAACAACAAAACCTGGTCCAGGAATTTTGAGCTAATTCTTCCTGTCCAGCTTAATTTGGCACCTGTCACTAGACAATAAGATTGTGTACTAGAAAAGGATCCCCTGATCTGGACAGGTTAGCTTTTCGTATTCCTTTGTTTAAATCCATCAAGTCCACATGACTCTTAGAAAACCTTGTCCCAGATAGCAAACCATATAGCAAGACAGGCCTGTCATCCCTTAAGGGTTTGAAGCAGGGTTATTAAATCACTGAAATGCTTTGCTGTGACAAAATCCATTCATAGTTTTTGTCCCACCCCAGCTCATTAAACAGCTCTGAGAGAAGATGCCTCTATTTTCTGTCCATTAAATATCGGAGAACAGAAAACAGATTTAGCATTCCTGCAGAAATCTGCTGCAGTAGCTGAACAGTAGTCTTTTGAGACCTCACAGCTGCAAAGAGCGAGGAAAAACATCTTCCAGCCTCCTTCACTTAGGAAAAATAATCATACACTAATTGTCGCACAAGGAAGGAAAAGCTGAGGGAAATTGGCTGAGAGCAGAGTGAGGAAGATTCACATTTGCCTGTGAGGTTACAGACAGCGCTGCAAAATCTATCCATGTCACCGCAACCATCAGTGCAAAGTGCCCAGAAAGACGCTGCACAGAAATCAACCAATCAGCACGATTAACAAAATCCAACAAAGCTTTCTGCTGTCACTTAAGCAGCACATATTCTTTTAGCGATTCAGGCAAAGGCAGTTCCTTCACGGCATCTGGCAGGAATCGTACCCCCAGGCTGTGGCGTACAGCATAGCGTGACAGCGTCTTTAAGGTGCCTGGAGCAGAGCAAAGTGTGGTTAGCTTCTCGCACAGCTGCTGATCCCGCAGGACCTCACGAGGCATGGCCCCGTTCTTCCGCAATTCGAAGTGTCCCACTGCTTGGTGGAGGAGGTCAAAGCAGGAGTCCTCCCTCTCAGTGCCAAGTCCTCTGACCAGGAGGGCAACCAGCCTCGAGATTGGGGTTTGCCCTTTCAGGTTGACCACCCGGACCTCAGCCCCATATTCCAGAAGGATGCTCACACTTTCTAGGTTCCCCTTCATTGCTGCCCAGCTCAGGGGGGTGTCGTCATTGTAATCCAGAGCGTTGACAAAGGCACCACTTTCTAAGAGTGTTCGGACGCACTCAGCATTGTTCTTAAAAGCAGCCCAGTGGAGAGGGGTGTCCTTGTTGCCATCCAAGGCATTTGGATTGGCCCCGTATTCTAAGAGGATTTCCACACAGGTCTCATCCTTCTCTGCCGCATAATGAAGAGCTGTCCGGTTGTACCCATCAAGGGCATTAACCTGCAAAAGCAGAGAGGGAATGCTTCAACATTCAGGATTTAAGGCCGTTTGGACAAATGCAGCGGGTGGGAGGTAAATGTTCATCCCAACCTGTCAGTTGCACCAACATGCCTGACACACACAGACGGGACAAGGTGCTGCATATAGTTTGAAATTTTAGCTAATTCTTTATCTTTTAAAAAAAGCTTGCTTCTGTTATTACGTGGAATACTTAGGAGAGCAATTAGGTGGAAAACCCTGCTTCTGTTATTACGTGGAATACTTAGGAGAGCAATTAGGTGGAAAATTACATGTTGGCAGATTCTATGGACCACATGCAGCCAGAGGGCCACATTTTGTCTATGCCTGGTTTTAAAGGCCTTTGTAGGGTGGGGGGTGTTATTTAATCCCCATTCTTCCAATACTCAAGGTCTAAATACAGTACCGAAGATTTCTGCTGCAAATTGATAGACCAGCCTTCATCCCCCCAATGCTGCTGACAACTTTCAGCTGGACTGAAGACAAGTAGGGAAAGGGGGACATAAAAAGGCTTTGCAAAAAAAGTGGCTTGTTTATCAGAACCTTTGTTAAATGAGGTACATCTGTCCAGTAAAGAGAAATAAGGGATGTGGAAGTACTTCAGTTAATTTGTAATACAAAAGTATGACTACATGTGAAAAAAAAAAAGTCAGTTTATCATATGGTACAAAAAGTGTTTAAGAATATGAATGTGATAGAAACCAAAGCTGAAAAAAGCACCGATCAACATCAGTGTGAATATATTCCCTTGATTTGAGTTGCCTTGTAAAAGGATGGCTTCTGATGTGATTTCACAGTTCCTCTAAGAGGCTGAGGTTTGTGGGAAGGAGTAGATCATCCCATGCTAAGATTTTAAAACCTATTTCACCACCTTTTGATGGGGTGACACATTTTGATAAGTTACTTTTCCCTTTCACTGCTATAAAGATCTTTTTTCATAATGAAAGATGTTAATAAACTACACATTCTCCTGTTTTGTATCAATGAGTCAGCCAAACCTCACATATTATCTGTAATTCAGTAGATAATGTGGCAAGCTCATGGCTATATTGCATTCTCAAGAACAAAAATAAACACTTCAATCATAAGTCAGTTGAGTGGAACTAAAAACCAAAGAACTGCAAGTAGTTTACCATTCTTGAAGTGGCATTTTCACTCTGCCATACTGTCACCCATACTCAAAAAAATGTTACTTTCTCTCAGCATCATCCTAGCTGCAATACAAGGGTAACAATATTTAAAAGTCCATTACAAATCCTGTCATAATTGCATACATCAACCTAGAGTAGGTTCCCTGGATTGGTTCTTTGCTGTATTCAAGTTCTTACCTCCGCTCCTTTTTCCAACAACAGCTCAATGCAGTCAGCATCAGCAACCATGCAAGCACAGTGTAGTGGCTTCAATGTACCATGCATACAGTTAACATCCGCACCCTAGTAAAACACAGAGTAGAGAAAATGAGGGAAGTTTAGCAGTCTATAGTGGACTACATTTGAAGCCAAATATTGACAACATACTCTTTGCACTGAAGAGCAACAGATGCCAAATCAGAATGCTTCCTATCTATCTAGGATAAGATAAGGGGCATAAAACAGAATAAAAAGTCTAGTTCATTACAGCCTCATCATACATGTTGCTATTTATTTACTGCAGAAAACTCAAACAAAATTGGACAGAATTCAAAGGTATCCACAAAGGAAAAGAAGACTTATATTGCAGGGTGCTAAAAAGATGGCCTTTACTGAAAAGGCCCAGGTTATCCTCAAACTAGTTATATTTAGGGAGAGCAACTCATTATTGCAATTATTGTTCAAAACCTGGGATAACATTAATGCATCCCATGGGCATCCCAGCCAATGGGTTGACTTATCACCTATCTAATAGTTGCTGGCAATTAATAAAATGAAGCAGTTGGCAACATCAATCAAGTCTAACATGGAACCTTCATCTGTAGTAATTGAATGCTGAAGTAATCTTAGCATTGACCTTTGGAGCTAAGTGTTAATTTTACTTTGAAGATGAGAAATGTCACATTTAAATAAGCTTGATGAATAGTGGTCATGAAATCCTGGGCACTTTGCTCTGCTAATGAACTAAACCAACTTCCTTTTGTTTATTTTTTAATGGAGTCAAAAAACCTCTTAAAGACTACTACTTCCTTCTAAATCTACCAGCGATAAAGTGTAATTTTCTGGTCACAGATAATCGCTTCAGAACTCTGCCCCTTCCAGTATTTTTAAAAACAACTTTCTTCCCTATAAATTGTTTTTCATGCCATCTAGAACTAGTTGTAAAAGAACTGCTGGCTAACACCTGCAAGGTCACCTAACTGGATTCAGACCCAGAGCTTTTTAGAGATTCCAAAATAGCAAGCTTTCAAAACAATGCAAAATATATCCACAGGTTTATCACATACCCTCCTGATAAGGTCTTCAACATTGTCATGCGGAAAAGATCTGATGGCTGCTATAGTCCGAATCAAACGCTCTGACAAAGAATATTTACTCTGAATGCTCTGCATTATATACCACATAGTGGAACTCAGTTTCTCAGCTTGCTTCACATGCTCCAAGTGAGCTGGGGAAAAAGAAATCAGACATCACTTGTGTTACATTTCAATAGCAGGTTTTTTATTAATTTCAGTATGCCAGGCAGTTAGCTTATTTATACCAAAATATTTGTTATCAACACTGTTTTCTGAATAGCCACTGTGCTTTTTTTTTTTAAAGTTCTATATTTAAGCATTAGCTCAAGCACCAGAGGCAACAAGGAGTTCCACACAAGTGAGAAAGCTGGCATAGGAAAGTCCTCCTACGCCAAGCACAGAAGTACAGCAGGAATTAATGCTACAGGAAAAAGGGATCTCTTTGTTCTTCCTCAACCAGACTACATCAGGCTCGTGATTCAGAAGGGGGTACTTAAGAACTTACTTTCAAGGTACAATTTAGTTTTAACCAAAGTGGTATTCCTTGCCTGAGAAAATGCCATGAGGCAGCAATAAAATCATAAACTCATAGAATAATAGTTGGAGGAGATCATGTGGGCCATTTAGTCCAACCCCCTGCCATGAGGGAAAAACACAAAATATCCTGGCAGCCTCTATTTAAAAGCTTCCAAGGAAGGAGCTTCCACCACACTCCATGGCAGAGAGTTCCACTGCTGAACAGTTCTTACAGTAAGGAATTTCTTCCTAATGTTCAGATGGAAACTCCTTTCCTGTAATTTGAACCCATTGTTCTGAGTTCTAGTCTTCAGGGCAGCAAAAACAAGCCTGTTCCCTCTTCCTTATGGCATCCTTTTACATATTTATACATGGCTATCATGTCTCCTCTCAACCTTCTCTTCTGCAGGCTAAACATACCCAGTTCTTTTAAGACGATCTTCCTAGGGATTCATGGTCTCCAAACCTTTGATCATTTTAGTCGCCCTCCTCTGGACACCTTCCAGCTTGTCAATATCTCTTTTGAATTGTGGTGCCCAGAATTAGACACAGTATTCCAGGTGAGGTCTAACCAAAGCAGAACAGAGAGGCACCATGACTTCCTTTGACGTAGACACTATACTCCTTCTGATACAGCTCAAAATCTCATTGGCCTTTTTAGCTGTTGCATCAAACCATTAAATAATAATAATCATCATCATCATCATCATCATCTTTATTTGTATCCCGCCCCATCTCCCCGAAGAGACTTGGGGTGGCTTACAGTAAACAAACAAAAACATTAAATAATATAACACAGACAATAATCACAATAGTCACATATCACCTAATACAAACAAAATAACACAATAAGATAAACATTAAAAACCAGTTTAAAACTATTTTGCCCTTTAAAAACAATAGAAATATAAATGACACTTAAAACCAGCCCATTCCTATACATGTTGGCTCATGTTCAACTTGTTGTACATGCAGACTCCAAGGTCTTTTTCACATGGACTGTTGTCGAGCCAGGCATCACCTACCTTGTATCTTTGCATTTAATTTTTTCTGCCCAAGTTGGAGTATCTTAAGAGAGTAAGTACATAAAATGTAGATAGGTCTATGTCTATGTATCTCTCTCTTTGTGTGTATACACACAAACAAAGAGAGAGATACATAGAGGCATATATGCAGAGTGCTGCAAAAATGTATAGAAGCATAGAATAACAATGTTCATCCCTTCCACATACCACTGCTCTGCCTCATAGAGAGAGAAGAACAGGCACAACTCCATTATGCCTAAACCAAGAAGCAGATGAAAGACACTGCCTTCGTCCCAATTGCCACTTATTAAACCAACCCCTTATAAGAGAAGGAGGCAGATACATAAATTGTAATAGAAAAATGTATGGATACTGAACATTTATCATGAAAGCCTTTCATTGATTTTTTTTAAATCTATGATGTATTGCTTATTTCACAGACTCAGAAGTTTCTTATTACACTTGTGCGAAATACAAACACAAGGCTTGCGACATATGTGTCGAACTCTAGGCCTGTGGGCAGGATCCGACCTGTCATGTACTTCCATGCGACCCTCCCAAGGCTGGACTACAACTCCCTCATTAGACATAATAGAATCATAGAACAATAGAGTTGGAAGAGAATGTAGACCTATCTACATTTTATGTACTTCTAGTTCAACTCCCTGCCATGCAAGAAAAACACAAAGTACTTAACATCTTATAATTCTGGATATTTCTGCAATTTTTTCCCAAAAAATATAGACAGGGTTAGTAACATTTCAAGAGCAGAGAAGTAGTGTGAGAAACTACAAGAGAGACTTCAAGGAAGAAACTGCAATTGCTGCACAGGGAGGACAATTTAAACGTCTTCTATGAAACTGAAATTTAGGATGGAATCTGACGATCATTCTTATAACATTTACTAGCCATCTCTTGCCACACATTGCTGTGGCCTAGTCTGTATATATGTGTTTTGTGTGTATATATATGTTCGTGCATATGTGTGTGTAGATGTGCACATATGTGTGTATATATCTGTGTGTTTATATGTGTATATGTATATTGTGTATATGTGTGTGCTTGTCTATATGCATATTTGTGTGTATGTATGTGTGCCTGTATGTGTTCATGTGTATGTGTAAGCGCGAATGGAGGGTGAAAGAGAGAAATGTGCCAAGAGGAAGGCCCGTCAAGCCAACCCTGACCGAAACTGCCTTCCACCTGGAAACCAATGCCCTCACTGCGGGAGAAGATGCAGGTCAAGAATAGGGCTCCACAGTCACCTACAGATCCACAAGAATACTGATCCTGGAAGACTATCCTACTCAGCCAACAAGGGATCGCCTAAATGCAAAAAAATAAATAAATGCATGTGTATATTTGTGTGTGCATGTGTGTGTATGTGTGTGTGTGTGTGTGTGTGTATGGTGTATTTTGAGGGGTTTTAAGTCTTTTCTGCTTTTTTTTTTTTGTGTGTTTTTGGGGGTGATGAACACTCATTGGGACTGTTAGATGTATTGTATCGAAATTTCATGTCAATTCATCCAGTGGCTTTTGAGCGATGTTAATCCCACAAACGAACATTACATTTTTATTTATATAAATAATCATTCAATTTATGCACGTAGCCTTCAAACAATCACCTTTGCAAGACATTATAACTGTACCCTCAATTTGTTTCTGACACCATAAATAAATATAAATACCATAACAATGTTTGCTTTGGTGAGATATTACTTTCAAGTCAGGGTCCTTCTACGCTGTCATATAAAATCCAGATTATCTGCTTTGAACTGGATTATATGGCAGTGTGGGCTCAGATAGTCCAGTTCAAAGCGGATAATGTGGATTATATGGCAGTGTGGGCTCAGATAATCCAATTCATAGCAGATAATGTGGATTATATGGCAGTGTGGGCTCAGATAATCCAATTCAAAACAGATAATGTGGATTATATGGCAGTGTGGGCTCAGATAATCCAATTCATAGCAGATAATGTGGATTATATGGCAGTGTGGGCTCAGATAATCCAATTCAAAGCAGATAATGTGGATTATATGGCAGTGTGGGCTCAGATAATCCAGTTCAAAGCAGATAATGTGGATTATATGGCAGTGTGGGCTCAGATAATCCAGTTCAAAGCAGATAATGTGGATTATATGGCAGTGGGGAAGGGACCCCCTTGATGCAGAATCCGCGGAGAAGAGGGGCCCGACTGTCTTACACTTTGGGGGCCTCTTTGAGGTGAGTCTGTTGCTCTCTGCGTGGAAAGGCAGACCACTCTCTCTCCTGTTGCTTTTGAAAGTCAATACATACCATACGTTTTTCTGTAAGCTGCTGAACCCAACAACGACAAGGCCATGAGCAAACTGAACCGGCATTATCCCTCACCCCGCCCCCCACCGCCATTTTATTCCCCCTCAGCTTCAACTCACCGACCCAAAGACCCTCTGCTTGCTGCCCGCCTTATCCGGAAGTGGAAGTTCCACCGGAAACGAATGAGGTGTCACGGCCAAGGATAGAGAGGCCCGTTATTGCCACTCAGGCCGTTCTCTTTTGGCCCCGCCCCTCAGGCCGTGCGCTTGTCACGCGTCTCCTCCAATCACGTCAGCGTATGGCCCATAAGGACCGCCTCCTGACAAAAAGGAGTACCTGATGAGGGGATGGTTATGTTATTGGGTGGATAAACGCTGCAGAATGAATGCGATGGCTCGATGCTATGGGATTTGTAGTTTGGGAAGGCACCAATCCTGGTGCCTTCCCAAACTACAATATATATATATTGTAGTTTGTAATATACAATACAATATTATATATATATATATATATATATAGAGAGAGAGAGAGAGAGAGAGAGAGAGAGTATATAGGTTTTATATATATATATAAAACCTATTAGAGAACATAACCCTTTAGAGCAGAATCTCCTCTTGTCCTATACAACCAAATATAATTGTGCTATGCAATGGTTTCAGTTGTTAGACTGAATAACCAGCAATCTCTGCATCATAGACTCATAGAGTTGGAAGCCAACCTTAAAAACTGTGGCATAGACACTGAGAACTGGGAAGCCTTGAGCGCTCCACCTGGAGGTCACCTGTGACCAGGAGTTAGAAGAGACCTCCTGGGCCATCCAGTCCAACCCCCTGCCAAGAAGCAGGAAAATTGCATACAAAGCACCCCCGACAGATGGTCATCCAGCCTCTGTTTAAAAGCCTCCAAAGAAGGAGTCTCCACCACACTCCAGGGCAGGGAGTTCCACCACTGAACAGCTCTCACAGTTAGGAAGTTATTCTTTCTCTCTCTCTCTCTCTCTCTATATATATATATATATATATAAACCTATTAGAGAACATAACCCTTTAGAGCAGAATCTCCTCTTGTCCTATACAACCAAATATAATTGTGCTATGTAATGGTTTCAGTTGTTAGACTGAATAACCAGCAATCTCTGAATCATAGAGTTGAAAGCCAACCTTAAAAACTGTGGCATAGACACTGAGAACTGGGAAGCCCTGGCCCTTGAGCGTTCCAGCTGGAAGTCAGCTGTGACTGGCAGTGCTGTGGCGTTTGAAGAGGCACAAATGGAGGGTGAAAGAGAGAAACGTGCCAAGAGGAAGGCACGTCAAGCCAACCCCGACCGGGACCGCCTTCCACCTGGAAACCGATGCCCTCACTGTGGGAGAAGATGCAGATCAAGAATTGGGCTCCACAGTCACCTACGGACCCACCGACAGAACCTTGGAGGACCATCATCCTCGGACTACGAGGGATTGCCTAAGTATTGGGTGTGTAAACGTTGCAGAATGAATGCGATGGCTCGATCCTATGGAATTTGTAGTTTGGGAAGGCGCCAGTCCTCTTTGGCAGAAGAAGGTATTAAAGAACATAACCTATTAGAAAACATAACCCTTTAGAGCAGAATCTTCTCTTGTCCTATACAACCAAATATAATTGTGCTATGCAATGGTTTCAGTCGTTAGACTGAATAACCAGCAATCTCTGAATCATAGAGTTGGAAGAGATCTCATGGGCCATCCAGTCCAACCCCCTGCCAAGAAGCAGGAAAATTGCATACAAAGCACCCCCGACAGATGGTCATCCAGCCTCTGTTTAAAAGCCTCCAAAGAAGGAGCCTCCACCACACTCCAGGGCAGGGAGTTCCACCGCTGAACAGCTCTCACAGTTACGAAGTTCTTCCTAATGTTCAGGTGGAATCTCCTCTGATCTGTTAGGAAAACAGATTTGCTAGTGCATAAAAACAGCAGAGCTTTAGAAGTGTTTTTCGTTGCCCTACTCTCCCATAAAACAACTTGCTTCATATTATATGAACCCAAGAGACAAAAATGAAGTAGACTTTGATGCAAATAACATGTGTGGTTTACACACAACTTTCGTGTGTTTAGGAGCCCCCGATGGCGCAGTGGATTAAAGCGCTGAGCTGCTGAGCTTGTTGACCGAAAGGTCACAGGTTCGAATTTGGGGAGCGGGGTGAGCTCCTGTTGTTAGCCCCAGATTCTGCCAACCCAGCAGTTCGAAAACATATCTATATAATATCTATATAAATAAACATTTAATGTTTGTTTGTGGGATTAACGTAACTCAAAAACCACTGGACAAATTGACACCAAATTTGGACACAATACACCTATCAGGCCAACAAGTGACCATCACTCATAAAAACACAGTAGAAGAGACTTTAAAAGCCAAAAAACAAAAAAAACATTACAATTCATGCACAAAAACATATATGATATTGAGTAAGAATTTAGAGGGTCTCGCATAGGGGGCAGAGACCTGGCAGATCCACCAAGGAGGGTCCGCTGTAACACTGGTGAGAATGAAGCCCAAAAGAAATTTTCCCTGATTTTACCCAAATAAATCTCACCAAAGTTCATGATCCCTCGTTGTCCGAGTAGGATAATCCTCCAGGGTGGGTCCGTAGGTGACTGTGGAGCCCTATTCTTGATCTGCACCGTCTCCCACAGTGGGGGCATTGGTTTCCAGGTGGAAGGTGATCCTGGTCGGGGTTGGCTTGATGCACCTTCCTCTTGGCACGTTTCTCTCTTTTGCCCTCCATCCGTGCCTCTTCAAATTCTACAGCATTGCTGGCCACAGCTGACCTCCAGCTGAAGCGCTCATGGGCCAGGGCTTCCCAGTTCTCAGTGTCTATGCCAGAGACTTTAAGGTTGGCTTTGAGCCCATCTTTAATTCTCTTTTCCTATCCTCCAACATTCTGTTTTCCGTTCTTGAGTTCAGAATAGAGCAACTGCTTTGGGAGACGGTGGTCGGGCATCCGGACAATGTGGCCGGTCCAACGGAGTTGGTGGCGGAGGACCATCGCTTCAATGCTGGTGGCCTTTGATTCTTCCAGCACGCTGACATTTGTCCACTTGTCTTCCCAAGAGATTTGCAGGATTTCCAGAGGCAGCACTGATGGAATTGTTCCAGGAGTTGCATGTGACATCGTAGACAGTCCACATTTTGCAGGCATATAGCAGGGTTGGGAGGACAATAGCTTTGTAAACAAGCACCTTGGTATCCATACGGATGTCCTGGTCCTCAAATACTCTCTGCTTCACTCAGAAAAGTGTTGCACTCGCAGAGCTCAGGCGGTGTTGAATTTCTGTGTCAATGTTGACTTTTGTGGAGAGGTGGTTGCCAAGGTAGCGGAAATGGTCAACATTTTCTAATGTTATGTCATTAAGTTGTATTTCTGGCATTGCTTCTAAATGCTTCTGGAACATGACCTTACAGCCCAGAAAAACTCACAGCAACCCAGTGATTCTGGCCATGAAAACCTTCGACAACACATTATTCTGCACTCTGCAGCAAATATTCACTGATTTCCAAAGTCAACATAGTATGATGCTCACCGTCTCAATCTGATCTCGAAGAAACTCCTCCCGGGGACTGTTTGGCAGGAGCAAAATGCATAGACTTTTGATACCCACTTGCATCTTTCTCTAGATCAGTGCTTCTCAGCCTTCCTAATGCTGCGACCCCTTAATACAGTTCCTCATGTTGTGGTGACCCCCCCCCCCCACCATAAAATTATTTCCATTGCTACTTCATAACTGTCATTTTGCTCCAGTTATGAATCGTAATGTAAATATCTGATATGCAGGATGGATTTTCATTCACTGGACCAAATTTGGCACAAATACCCGAGACGCCCAAATCTGAATACTGGTGGGGTTGGGGGGTTGACTTTGTCATTTGGGAGTTGTAGTTGCTGGGATTTATAGCTCATCTACAATCAAAGAGCATTCTGAACTCCACCAATTGAACCAAACTTGGCACAGAGAACTCCCATGACCAACAGAAAATACAGGAATGGTTGGACGGGCATTGACCATGAGTTTTGGAGTTGTAATTTACCTACATTCAGAGAGCACTGTGGACTCAAACAATGATACATCCAGAGGCGGCCCTAGGTAATTTTCAACGGTAAGCAAACAGTATTTTGCCCCCCCCCCCCCCCAAGCAATCACTGATATATATTTTCTGTTCGTCGTGGGAGTTCTGTATGCCATATTTGGTTCAATTCCATCATTGGTGGAGTTCAGAATGCTCTTTGATTGTAGGTGACTTATACATCCCACTAACTACAACTCACATATGTCAAGGTCTATTTTCCCCCAAGAGCGCCCCTGGGCAAAATCAACTTGGCCACGGTGGTCCACGCTCTGGTTACATCCCGTCTAGACTACTGCAATGCTCTCTACGTGGGGTTGCCTCTGAAGACTGCCCGGAAGCTTCAATCAGTCCAACGAGTGGCAGCCAGATTGCTAACAGGAGCGGGGTACAGAGACCATACAGCCCCTCTGTTACACCAGCTCCACTGGCTGCCGATTAGCTTCCGTGCACAATTCAAAGTGCTGGTTTTGACCT